TGCATCACAATACAAGAACAATATCGTTTACCTTTCTATGCAAATAATTACTTGTATTTCAATTCTTCATGCGATGCACAATTTTCTGACGGTGTACTGACAGACATGCTTACTCTTTCTATATTACTGAAGAATTAGATTAATTCTGCAATATTTTCTCAATGGAATTAAGTAGTATCCTTCTATTAAATTCACTTGTGAAATTAAAACAGAGTGATTCTCGATAACAGTAAAAACAAAAAAGTCTGCAGTACACAGTTTATCAAAAATAAAATCAAATAGTGATTAAACATATAAATCGAATAAATTGAAGCTGTCAATGACTGGACCAGGACCTGATCACACTTATACTCAAAACATACATGCAGAATTCTACCCGGACTACCTCCACCCTAAGTACAATCTGCTCTTCTCTCACGATCAGACAAACGTCGACCATTTTTACACTCACGATTTTACATTTTCCACGATTAATTCATCTGAATCCCCATCGTTTCCACAAGGAAGAATCGGTTCTCCAACAGGGAAGACAAAATTCCCACGCGAATCAACTGACATTAAAGCAGCTTCGGGATTACTCCTGACACGAACACGTCGAAAGACCTTTGCCAGTCGAACGACACGAGTATCGCGGCACTGTAAAAAAATTCCTGTTTCTTCTAACGATTCCCAAGCGCGAAAGAAACCTAATCGCGGTTCCCGTGGCACCGTGACCTTTCCGTCTCGCAAAACGTGCACGCCTCGTACGTGCGAACAGGCCCTTACGTTCACTCGAACGGACACCGAGTTTCCATCCGGTCACAAAAATCCGAGCGAAACCACTGGAGCATGCACATTGTTAGCCAACATCGCCTAGGCCGGTCGAGTCAAACGGCGAACGTAGTCGGACAAAATGGAATGCAGCTCGAACACTTTTCTCTCCTATATATATACACGTGCCCCTTCGCGATACCAGTCGGCGTTTTCCACCATCGATGTCTATTATTACGTCAACGCTACTTGCTTTGCATCTCCGAGACGCGAGTCAAATTATCAGAGTATCGGTTTCTCTGGAACCAATACGCGTACTCGTATGTTTAACGCCATTGTTCAAGCTTAAAAACAGGGATCTGTTTCTGATACCGTATGGAAACCTTCTCAACTGTATCAGAGACGGTTTCTTGATTCGAGTTGGTAGAGTACATCTGGGGGAGGTCGGTAATAATAGTCAAAATTCAAGATCCACGACATTTCTACCTTCTTTGACACTATACTTCCTCACACACCAGTGTAAACGTTACAGTTTCTAATGCACCATTACTAGACGTTCAAGATAAATCCTGTTACTAGTTCAAGCATCAAATTATAGCACATCACACAAAGGTTAACAATCCTAAAATATGGTTGACCTACCCACTCCTCTAAGACTGCGACCTCTCAAACCCTGATACTTTAATAATACTCTCTCGCGGGAACCTCTGAATCCATTCTCTAGAGTGAACATGACGCTGACAGCGACTCTACAACTAGCAAAGCTAGAAACTTCGTATGAAAGATCCATAGAGTTCCAGATGGACAAGAGTAACGATTGTTGATATTCCCACAGGCTGTTCTCGCCGCCATTCTGGCCGTCGCTACCGCTGCTCCCGGTGGTCTTACTGGCATCGTCCCGGACCACGCAATTGGACCCATCCAGGCTCCTCTGGTCTTGGGTGCCGCCGCTGTAGCAGCCCCCGTTGCCCACGTTATCAGCCAGCCCGTTGCCCCCATCGTCCGCACTCCCGCGATCGTCACCAAGTCCGTCCTCACCGCCGCTCCCCTGCCCCTCCTTTCTGCTCATGGCTCTTTGCATTAAATGACGGACTATACTATCTTACCACCACCAACTCACGACGAGACAGCCCCCTAGAAAAGCACACCACACATCCCCACTTTTCCTGCGTAAATCGTCCCACCCCTCCACCTAAAAGCAACAAAGCGAAGGAAAGAACCGCAGCACGAAGAAAGAAGAAAACAGGAAACGCAAAATTTCTCTTCCCCTGCTATCTCTCCGCATCAGGATGACATCCGGACATCGGACGTTCCACGTGCGCGCGTCGCCCACGGCGAAACGACGCGGAGGACATTAGACGAGGGCCCACGGCCCGGGCCTGGCGTCCCAATCGGCTAGTCTCTTTCCCTTCGGCGCAATCGCGACTTTGGATCATCAATGTAATTCGGACATTCGCATCTCAATCATTTTGTACCATCATCCAGGACCCCTCCCCTTTGGCCATACGGAATTTTGAATAAAATTTTATTTAAAAAATATCTTCGACGTCTTGCTGTTATTCGCACCCTCTTCGCTGCGATACCTGATAAGTATTAGATCCGTAGGAATCTAAGCGAAAAATTATTGACAGTCGACCGCTTTACCCACACGACCAATCCCGTACCCTACGTTTCGTATTCTCGTTTAACTCCTTGTTGTTGGGTATGGGAGTGTGGTATCGGGTGTGATCGAATTGCGAAGTGTTTAATTTTGATTGTGTATGTACAATTAGTTTGCAGCTTGGGTGGAGATAGAGTCAGGATCGTGACTTTAAGTGATAGTCACAGAGGTGATTCAGTGCACGGTTGAGTGCATCATTCTTAACAGGGTGATGCCTCGGATATTGATTACATCTGTTGCTTGGATTCGTGATCAGGAGTCATCTATGTCACTGTATATGTTTCTTCAATCTATGAATACGATTTGTTTATCCATTGCCTGTTATTATGCATTTATCTCTGTACCCATAATTTCGCGCGGATGTTCAAGTTTCTTTCGTCTGGCGCCATCTAGAAGACCCAAGATAAAACGCAACCTGCTCGCGTCCACTGATAGAGAACACGTGATAACGGCGGTTGTCACGACGTTGTAATCACTGCAAGAGGAAAAAGAAAATTTTAGTTCTGTTCTTGGTACAATAGACTCATCGATAACGTAACCAAGAAAGTATCTATATCTATATCTATATATCTTGGTTATTTATGGAGTCACAAATTAAAATCTAAAACGCCCCGAAGTCAACTTCAGTTAATTCTCATAAATATATAAATAATCTTGAATTTTAGTTCCTCGGTTATTATTTTTTGCAATCTCCAAAGTCATGAAACACAATATCAGTCATCTCTGATCTAGGTTATCGAATTGTTGATTTAGTTAAGTTGCTGTTTCATATTCAACGCGGACAACTGCGTTGACAACATTTCTGAATATATATATATATATGGGCGATACATCATACCGTGACAATGCAATTACAGGCCGCACTATTTCAACATGGTTTACAAAGATCCAAGGATAAAGATTGACAAGGAAGATCGACGACCAATCGTTCAGTTGGATTACAAATATTTGACGGACTGTGAGACATAAAAATGTCAGGAAATTCGCGGGAGGGATGGTTATTCGAAGCAATTACCAACTTAGAGAATAAAGTGTTATTTACAGACGAGAAAATAGAAATCTAAACAAGGGCGATCGATAGGCGGTCTGGGTCGATAGTTTACAATGCTGGCAATTACTGTCCTTTCAACGAGACTGCAAAGTTATTCTTTATCCTGAAGACTTATACTCGAATTTGAATCAGGTAATGATGCCGGCGAAACCAACATAACGATCATTAGCAATGAGTGGAAAGGATTACCTTTTGCTGTTGTAACGTTGAGCTGCGCGGACCTTCGAAAATGATTGCAATTTAATTCACAGGCGAATTGGCTCAACCACTGCATTCGTTACATTCTATCTAGATTCATTTGTTCCGATTTAGGCTATACTATTAAATTATCCACTAATCCAATAGCATGGCGCTTATGCAAGAACCTTTAAGCTGAGGATTCAAAACACCCACGATCCAAAGTTTAGGTTTATTGCTCGGACACCATTGTAATCTATGACCGTCGAACGGCTGCACACAGCATGAGCTCGGCTCTGGCGCGGGGACACAATTCACCTATTGTTTTGCTAACTCCCAGGAATCCTACAACAAGACATCTTCAGTAGTAGGGGATCCAATGCTTCCTATGCGCACTGATACACATTGTCTGAGCAGTAGACCTACATGTTAGGTCGTATATTTCAAGAATAAAATTGTCAAAATATCTTGCTTTCTTCAAGCAGTATCAGTTGACACCTATCTAAACTAGACGACTAGACGATCGTCACTTAATCTTGTCGTTACATTTAACTGTATTTCAATATCTATGGATAGTCATGCAGTTAACAATTCATCAATTTTAAACAACCTTAACCTGCAGTGCATCATACTGCTCAAACAGATACACTCGTGCTCGACAAATTTTCAAACTTATTTTTTTTTCGAAAATGAAGCGTCCTAAGAAAAAATTTCATTCTACATTTTCGATTCAATTTTTGTACGTAGAATCACCCTCTACTCGCTTGTGCCACCAGTTACGGGACACCCTGTATCTTCTACGAGTATAATGTTCCCCAACCATTCCTCTTAAAACATCCCAAACTGATCACTCAACTCTCTCCTCGAAAAGCCCTCCTTCTAAAGCTTCGGAAAGAAAGAGTTATCGAGATTAAGCGATCCAAAGTTGCTTGCGTCTTCAAATCCAGAGCGTTCACCCTGAGAGCCTGCCTCAGAGGACTCTAACAACTACGGACACGTGTAACGATTCTTCGCCTTCTCGATACTCAAACGCCACCAAACGAATGTCTGCTGCTGTAAATACATGGAGACGACCGTATAAACGTCGCCACTCGGCCATGCTTCGCCCCTATGTATGGATCCAGGACCCTTTCGAGCATCAATTCTTTTACGACCATTCCCTATCTCTGCCCAAAGTTCTTCAACCTTCCCCTCGTGCGGTTTCCCCGACGTTCGCGTGTTCCATCGAGTCTTCTATCGCAAAGAACGTTCGAGTTTCCGAAAGCTTTCCGCTCGCTGCCAAGCGCGTCGCGGGTTTTACAGCCGACGTAAAAGCCGCGGAACGACTTCGACGAGAAAATTAGCAAAAAGGATAAACAGCCGGTGCGGATGCCGCGTGTTTTATTTCAAGTACATTTCGAACGAGTATAAAATTATTTGGCCAAGAGCGTTCTTGGGTGGGGGATCGAGATGCTGGGTCAGTAGAGATACACCGAGCCGGGATGAACCCACTTGTATCCGTGATTGTAAGACAGAGGAACAGCTGCTGGGTGGATTGGCAGTACCTTCACGTACGGGTGCGAATAGACCAGCGGGGGCGCAATCACTGGCGGCACCGGGGCTGGTGCACATGTTACAGCCACCATGGCCACGGCGAGCAATAGCATCTGTCGGGCAGAAAGGATATATTAAAAGCGAAGTCGTGTCCGTGATCCTGTTTCACGGAAAGTCTAAATTGATCTTGGCTTCAGCGACATGTATTTTGGGTGGGTGAAAAATGGTCCTGGACATTGCAAGTCGAAAGTCGCTTGTTTTTGGTAGATGTTGAGGATTGTACGTGATGGAATGCAATTTAGTGGAGAGTAGATAGTGTGTTCATGTCTGATTTGTGATATTTAGACTCAATCGATATGATTTCGTGTGGTGGCAATACGTACACGAATCTTTGGCAAAGCTGATACTTTCAGACATTTTTTAATTTGATTCTCTGACTGAATATTAGAAATTTAATGTAGTGTGCTAGCGATACCTTCTGGATTTTAAACACCTTATTTAGAGATAATCGACGTGATTCCGTGTGGTGGTAGTACACGAATCTTTGGCAAATGTGATACTTTCAGACATTGTTAATTTAATTCTGGATATTAGAAATTTAAAGTAACGTGCTAGTGATACCCATGGATTTTAAACGCCTTATCACAAAAGTAAATTTAAAGCCTTATCAATGCCCTTAACAAACAAGTGTATCACACCATTTCCCGTGATCTCTTTATACACATAAACCAATTTAGATCCCTTTTCGCAGCTAATTGAATCGCGCACTCCATCCAAATCCCAATACGATACACATCTCGTAAGTACAAGCCCCCGTTCTCATTAACACACGCACTCAAAACCGTCGATCGTCGCGACACGAGCGTGCGCGGCAGCACTTAAGTAAGCGCGTATAGGATAGGTATACTTGCCAGTTTGAACATGTTAAACGTTTTATCGGCTTTTCCGTTCGCAAACACGAAGGGTCGCAAATGGATACTGCTGTTGGCACTACAGAAATCGAACTCTTTATATATACGAGACCGTGTCATCTTCATTGTTTGCCGCGACGCTATAAGCGGGCTGCAGCCTCGATCGTTCCGATAATCCGTGTCCGCGAAACGGGCGATTCCTCCCCCCCCCCCCCCCTCCCCTCCCCTCCCCTCATCCTTTCTACATCTTCCCTGAACGGAGTCACCTGAACGTCATAAATATGCAACGGGACGTGCAACACACGGAAATCAACGGCACCGGCCGATCGGTATCGCGATCTCTGATTTATAGAAGGACTCTTCGGCGTCGACAGCGACAGAGCCTTCGTTTAATCGAAGGACGCGACTGTTTGCAGCGGGCCGAGCTTTGATTAAAAGCAACGCGTCATTCTCGCGAGGGAAAACCAGGGAAGCCTTCGCGGCTCAAAAAATGAAAAAACCTCCGCTTCGCTAATGGTCTCTGCGCGCGCGCGCTCACCGATCGCTGAGATTCACGATTGCAGAGAGTTCAAAGTGTCGGCGTGCTCCTCGTCTCGTTTAATTAACGAACGCCGCGGATATTTTCGCGTTTCCTTGATGCGTTGTCGCTTCTTTTGCATCGCAAAGCGACGCTCGCCGTGTTCGGGATCGCCGAGGGTGGATTTTACAGCGGGGCTTTATCGACCTATCCAGGATGCCTAGGAGATCCGCGACGGTCCAATTTCCGGGGTAAGAGTCTATTCGGATGGGAGTTGGGGCGAAACAGGTAGCGATGTATGTAATATCGATAACTTGGCGATGCTAACTTTGCGTTATCGATGGAGAGATCTTTGGTAATATGGATATGGTTAACTTTGCTTTGCTTTGCTGAACAATTTTTTAAAAATTATCCATCGGTCTCTCTTCCTCTGCAGTTTAATTCCCATCGAAAGTCACGCTCGACGCCCAACGTCCCTGAGTACCATAAACGTAATTAAGCGTTTACAAAATATAAAAAGTCACATTCTCCTCGCTTTGGTGACTCATGAGCAGATAAATCATCTCTGATCGCGCCACGTAGATAACGTTCAGGCTACGTGCGAGCAATTCTATGAAGCGTCGAAGATAACCACCAGCAGGGCAAAAACCGCGACAACATGAAGGACGGTGCATGAATGTAGGATCAGAGAGTATAATAATTGCATACTTTACGTTTTCTAAAATCCTCCATTACCACTCTTTGTGTGACAAATACCCTTAGGAGCATTAGCTATCGCCTCTATTAAATTAGGAAAGAGAACAAAAATTTGATAATAACAAAAAACAAAAAATCGTCCCCGAAGAGGTTACAATCCCCTACTTCATTTAATTCCTCCGTACCAGTGTGTCTCAACCATTTTTGTGCTATGGTCCACCTACGCTTTTCTAAAATGCTTATGTCCCTCTCCTAATATATACATAATTTTGAATATTTTAAGTTTTAGGAAGAAATCACTAGGAAATTATTGAGCAAACACAATAAGTAAATTTTCAAATTGCCTCCCTGTGGGATGTGGGCCCCACGTTGGGAAACACTGCTCCATACCATCCCTCTCGTTGTTCTAATCCAACCTGTAAGCCTAAAATCAGGTTGCAGGATAGCATTTTTCGAAATTCCCCGTTTCACCTTACTTTCTCTAACTCCGTACGCGATATTTTCATACGTTCCAATTTCCGTGTTCGCCTGAAGCCGATCGACAAGCTAAATAAAATGGAGAATGACTTTCAACGTCCGCGCGTGGGCCAGATGAGCGGTTCGCGTCATAACGAGCAAGCACAGCCAGGAATCCGTTAAGGGGGATCGTTTATCGAGGGTCTACAGCCATTTTATGATCCCTGGGATACGGGTTTGAAGCACCAGGGACTCCCACGCGGCAACAAAACGCGACCGTTCCTTTTTATGCCCCCCATTATGGAAATGTATATTCTATTCGCGGTTTCGAAAGACTCTCGGATCCGTTCCGCGTGAACGGACTCGGGAGCCGCGTGCAGTCACGGCAAGGTCTCCTACACGCGATGGAAACTCAACATTCCCGTCGAGTGTCTCGGTCTGCGAAACGAGTCGGGCTCACTCGTCCCGATAAGGCGTTGTTCCCGTAGAATTTATTAAGCAACGTTTTCCTAGGTATCTGAATCGGAGATGGGCTCGCCGATTAACGATATCGATGGCTACGATGCCAGTAACTTACCGACTTATCGTTAGGGGATTGATGCTAGAAGAATTTTTCATTATGCAACGCTGGAAAATGCTGAAACGCTAAAAACAAAGTGCGGTGGTTATTTACCTGGAATATTCCTGTCTTACCTGGAGTCCCTATTGCCTTCTTATTGGCTTTTGGATTCCGTCGTGGGTTTAGCTGTATTTAAATTAAGTCAAACATTCCTGCTCCTCGTGATGGAAACTACAGGCTACTTAATGCATAGAGATATCGGATATAATTATTGTGAAAGTAAAATGCTCTAAGCAGTAGAGCGTCCAAGCCTCGTGTCAGCGATTTGTGGAATAAGAATATTTTATATTTTACAAATATTTATAAAATTAACACGTTAATTGAAGCATAGAATCTCTTTCTCTCAGCGCTACCCAAACTACTGATTACTATTTCTTTAAGCTATTACTATCATATTATACTTTGGGTCTTCCCTGAACCTCCATTCGTCGTAGAATCGTGTCAGTCGACATTCGTATTAAAATTACAGCTAATCTAAAATTCTCCATGTCGACTGCACTATCGCTAATACCGATCTCCCGTTTTCAGGTTCCTGGCGATCTGGTGGCCGCTGAAGTGTCAGATCACGAAGCGCCGCGCTAGGATGATGATAGTCGTGATCTGGGTCGTCGCCCTCACCATTACGCTGCCGTGGCTTCTGTTCTTCGACCTGGTGGCCATCTACGAGAGCGAGCCGGACCTCAGGCTCTGCCTGGATAGGTGGCCTCACCCCGAAGATGGCACCCTCTTCTTCCTCATCGGCAACCTGACGTTCTGCTACGTTCTCCCCACGATTCTGATATCCCTTTGCTACATCCTGATCTGGATCAAGGTATGGCGAAGGCACATACCGACCGACACGAAGGACGCTCAGATGGAGAGGATACAGCAGAAGTCGAAGGTGAAAGTGGTCAAGATGCTGGTGGTGGTGGTGATCCTATTCGTCCTATCCTGGTTGCCGTTGTACGTAATCTTCACAGTGATCAAGCTCGGCGGCGATGAAGAGGAGCGAGAGGAGGAGATTCTGTCCATCGCCACACCGATAGCTCAATGGCTAGGCGCCAGCAACTCCTGCATCAATCCCATCCTGTACGCGTTCTTCAACAAGAAGTATCGCCGTGGTTTCGTCGCGATCATGAAGAGCGGGCGCTGCTGCGGCAAGATCAGGTATTACGAGACGGTAGCCATCATGTCCTCCTCGACGAGCATGAGGAAGTCCTCCTACTACGTCAACAACAACAACTCGTCGACGAGACGGGCCTGCCACGGACCCCCTGTTCACCAGGACAGCAACGTTTCCTACATATTCAATCACACCGGCGTCTAAGCAACGAGTCCAGTCCTAAAGATATTTGATGTTCGGTTATTCCGAGGCTGGCTGCCCGGAACGGGTTTCAAGCGAGCCGGTCCGAGGTTCCAGGTCACGCTGATCGCAACCGATTGTCGCTCGGATCGGATAGTCGTCGATAAGGGGGTCAAACGAGCACTGCTGCCAGCAGCTTTTCGCTAGCGCTACATCGCGGCGAGGATCGGTTTACGTAATCGCGGTTGCTGGCGAGGAACAGTGTTCCTCGACTCCGTCGTTTTGTATTTATCGCGTGAATTGTATTTTGTTGAGCGAGAACCAACTCTGGCGGCTCGTGAGGCTCGTCGTTCTCGTGGATCCCGCGACGTGTCCGAGATCGAAGTCGTCGGGATACGTCGCAGGAAACTTTCCACGAGCATCTTTCTAGATTTCTAAGGAATCCACGAACAAAGGGACCTTAGCCGCTGGCTTGACATTTGCGTGTGCGACAGCGGCGAGCAAGAGGAGAAAGTGGTGAGTTGGTCAGGCGACGTGGAAGAGAATCGAAAAGAGATTGAGCTTCTCGTCACTGGACATAGGGCGACAGTTGCTGAGGATTCTTGACCTTCTAGGAAGAAGCCATCAACCAAAACACTTGCCGAAGAAGACGGAATATTGGTTGATGCAGGAGCTGGAGGCTCCCTCCTAGAGTAGCAAGAATTATTCGGACCTAGTATAATTAATCTTGGGGGGGGGGGGGGCATGTGGCACACCCGGTAGATAACTGTTGCTATTCTAGGAGGAAGCCAGGAATTAAGGCACCTGATGAAGAACGCTGAGTTTGCGCAAAAGCTGGTGGCTCCCTCCTAGAGTAGCAAGAGTCATTCGGACCTAGTATAATTAATCTTGGGGGACATGTGGCACACCAGGTAGATGCCTGTTGCTCTTCCAGGAGAAAGCCAGGAATTAAGACACCTGAGTTTACGCAGAAGCTTGTGGCTCCCTCCTAGAGTGGCAAGAGTCATTTCAACAAGGTGTCCCCATCGATCTCCGTCAGCGAATTGTTGACACCTTGCGACTGGAAAATAGAACGATGTCGACTCGTAGGCCCTTAATTAAACACCGCAGAACTTTATCCGTGCATAACACCCGTTACTTTGCACTTGCGCAGCGCGTACGATCTAGAGGAGGACGCATGGTGGGTGACAGAGCGAGTGCTGAACATTACCTCCTCGTACGAGATAAAATACAGATTACTAGGTATTCTACTTGTACTTATCGTAGCACGGTCGGCTCCAACAGTTATATACACATATATTTTCTTATTGGAACGTTAGACGATTCTAGTCTTTTTGGGATTACTTAAGGTGCCATACATTACATATGCCTATATAAATTACTCTCGAGACTATAGATTAAGGGGCGCGGGCCCGCGCGTCAAGCGACCAGGAGTGCACAAGGACGGCCCTATTGTTAACTGATTCGAATGAAATAATTAACGATTCACGCGCTTTTTCGTCTATGCCGCGTTATCAACGTTGCCCCTCCCCTCTCCCTGCCAGCCCAACCTTCGCCTGTCCCCGTCCCAGACCATCTCTACACCCACCCAACCAGCCCTGTGTCTACGTGTCCCAGAGAAAGGCGGAAGTGACCGACTTACCGTTTTGTCTCGAATTATTCTCGATCGATTACACGTGCGACGAATTAACGCGGTCACTGGCGACAATAACGACCTTTTACGCTCCGAGAGGTTGAGCTCTTGTCACGGAGCTAGTTCAGAGACCATGTTGCGTACCAGTCGCATATGGTCGACGATCGCTGCTCCTGTATGGTTTCATCCATTGTAATATCGTTGAAGGAAGAGTAAAGAGGCTCGAGTATTCGCGACCGTTTGTCACGTGTACGTAATTTTTTTTCTCTTTTTTTTTTCTTCTAGAAGTCGATCTCACCGATTGAATCGTAGAGACAATTATATCGCGCGTACTTTCGTGCCGGATGCAACCCGCGGTTGGCTCGTCAGCATGGGAAGACGGTGATTACGATGGTTTCGGTCAGACTGTGTCGAAGATTCGAAGATCGATGGTACTGCCAGGATTTCAAATTCTAATTAAGGCAGGGACTATTCGTCCATCAGAAACTTTGACTCTATTAGTAAGTCGAATCCACTAATAAATAAAAAAAATAAAATGAATGATTTCTCCTTGGAGCTCACCTCTCATTAACCCTTTGCACGCCGAATTATATTTCAATTTCGTTATCAGCAGCTCCCAATACTTTCAAGTGTTTCATTTGAAATTCAATTTAACTAAAAATTAAGGCAATTTAAATGAATAAAGGAAGAAACAAATTGATTTACATACCAGTTTTATTCTCACTTTTGGTGTATTTTGTAATTTTCGAGTATATAATAGCTCTTGAAACAATTTCCTTTACTATTGATTCTGAGACAACAGAATGTCGCGTGGGGACTCGACATAGGAGTGCAAAGTGTTAATAAGAGTATCAAATTAACTTTTCCCACGAGGCAGACACGAATTAAACGATTCGAATAGTCCCAGCGTTATTATCGTTCAGACATTCGCCAGTGCTGCCAACACGTCGATCTTTCCTTGACGGTTTCTCCTGAGATTTACGCGTCATGCTGACGGGCCCTAATCGGGGTTTCAGTCGACTTTTCGCGAATTTTCCGCAACCACCTCAGATGTCAGAGGACAAACATCCGTCGGTTGGCGACGGATCGTTTTCGCGTGAATCGCGTGCCAGGATTGAAAAAGAAATTCGTGTATCGTTCGCTCTGCGTAGACTTCCAACGATCCAACGAACGAGCCCAGCGGTATTCCGCATAATTCACGGGGGAACCGGCGCACTCGCGGTTGCAACCAACCGTCGAGCTTTACTCCCGGGCACTTTGTAAAAACGAGTTTAAAAAAAAAGTATATATGAAAAACAATGAAACCAAAAACTTGTAAAGATGGCAACGTCGTGTAAGAGCTGTGGGATTTTATGATAGAGCAACTATTTTCGTAAGGTTTTTATACGTGGCGAGACAGGATCTAGATGTAACCGAAAACGTGCGAAGTATAATGTATAGACGGTCGTGAGATACCTTAATTCATATCTATTGTGGCTCAAAGGATGCCGGCGATGTCGCGTGACGCAACATAAATAGGATTAAGAACGATTATACTGCTTAGGGTAACAAAGAAACAAGTACATACACAAACAAAAATTTGGAGATAAAGAGAAGACAATTGTATAACGGAGGGCCCACGTTTGAGGAAACATTATAAAATCTCGAGGAGCGACTGTATACGCACTAAACGTGACTAAGTATTTAAGTTTGAAACGACGTAACGCATAAGAATTGTAATGTTTATATAGTATTATATTACACGTGGAACTAAACTTCTATCTGCTGTCTCTATGTAAATATGTATCTTACCGTACGTAAGTGTATATTATATACATATATATATATATATCGTTGCGATGTTGTAACTATATACACCGCCGTTACCTCCATTCTTATTCGTTGTTTCGTCGGAAACCGTAAGATTCATTAAATCCCATCGAAGAGCACGCTCGTTGTTCGCTAGCTCGTCTTCGTGTGATAGTTCCTGTGCAGTGAAACGAAAAGGGTTTTGAGAAGGTCCTCGGGCATTGTTTATTATCGTTGATAACGATATGGATTGTAGAGAGTAGACCAAAGGCAGGATTTAACAATTTGGATAGAAACTGGATGCAGAAAACGAATACAAACACAACCTGGTTCAAACAACTTTATCATACAAAAAATTTGACGATTCTCGAAAATGAGGCAAGCAGCTTGGAATTAAAAGTATTTTGAACGTGGTCGTGTTTGTATTAATTTTTATCGCGAGAATCTCGACAGTTCGTTGATAATGCTTTTGCGAATATATAATGACAATTATTTCAACTCTACGCTTTAGGCTACTCTCTACAATGTTAACTCTAAATATTGCAGTGTTTTCAAGTATTACCAAATAGAATAGCGAGTAACTCGTGAAAATTGTCGGCGATTCTGATGTTTGGAATTTTGGTAATACTGTTGTCTATAATGATATCGTCGTGGCGAGTGCACATGTAGGACGAACAATTTCATATGTTTACTCCGATTCACTATGGAGCTGGTGAACGAGCATGCGATAAATCTGCACACATCGTTTGGTAATGAACGCAACCGAGGGATGATACATTTCAAACAATTCAACGTGATACACGGAACAGATAATTGCATTTTAAATGACAGATGATGACGCTGTTCCCCTCGTACATTGTAGAGTGCTGTCCTTCATGTTGTCGCAGATTTGAGACCAAACTGGAACAATCTGAAAGACAAGACGTTTCAGACGTTAAACGACAAAGTCTCAAAACAGTGATAGCACAATGACGTAACAATGTGACAACTTGAAGGATAGTATCGCAACACTGTAATCCGAAGGACAGTCCCTTACGAATAGCACAAAAGTGTCCGAAAAGTCCCTCGAAATGCGAAAACTTGGCGTCCCCAGAATAATCATGCGCAGCCATGTATTATATTCGCTACGGTTTAAGAGAACTAACACTTAAGCGTAATTTATTCCCGTTATTATGGAACATGCGATCTCTTCGAATACGTAATTGTCGAACGAACGGTGTTTAAATCGATCGATCGGTGTCGCGCGCCGTTCGCCCGGGTCACGTGACGTTTTTCCATAACACGAATTACGAAACGTGATCGCGCGAAGCGTGCGCGATCGAAGGGCGATCTAACGATTACATTGTTTTTCTAAGCTCTTTAACCGAACATCTAGCCTTGCACGCTTCAGCATTCACCGGGACGACGTTTGCGTTCGAATGGATTCCATTTTATAGATTATTGTCGGAGGAAAGTGTTTGTAAATTTTCACTAAACGGAGTACGTTGTCCTTGGAGCGTTTCCAGGCTTTCGTTTGCGAAAGTTTCGCTCGACGATCACGACTTTCAAAGAACTTTTATCGAAATTCAACTTTACTAGAGTATATACATATATATACATAGTATATATATATATATATATATATATATATATATATATTTATATGTGTGTGTGTATATATATACATATATTATATATGTACAAATATACATACATATTATATATATATATATATTATACATGTACATAGAAACATTTGAGAATCGTTGTCCGTGAAAGCGCGTTTGCAATCTGGAAACTTTCCAACACGTTGATGCCGGCCGCAAAAAGATTTCAGATCATATAAGGACTCAGAAGCTATTTTTCTAAGAAAGCAAAAAAAAAAGGTGTTGAATTAATCCTTTTTCCACTCAAGGTCGTTCGTTGGTTCGTATCGCGACGAATTTTGACCTCTAACATCGAAACGAATTCGATCTTGTACCGTCGTCTGTCACTGGAACGACCTTGAACTTAGACATTTAGAATCGTATTTGCAATCACGACAAACGAAAACATTTTACACGTAAGGGACGGATACCTTGGAAGAAGTTGAAAATGAATTCTCACCCCTGGTCGTTCGAAACGAATTATTTTGTATAATAATAAACATACTAGGAAGCATGAATTTTACTCCTATCGGATATCACTCTGCACGTATTGAACACAGGTATGCGAACCTAACGAATACGCAGCTAAGGATAGAGTTCGTAAGTTTAATCCTTGCCTGTTTGCCATAGAAAGCAATAATAAGTCAAATGAAACACGTTGATGCCGGCCACAGAAAAATTTCAGATCATCCAAAGATTCATCAAATATTTTTCTAAGAATTTTCATCAAATCTTTCAAGGTGAGGTGTATATCATAAATGATCACATCCGAAGAATATTGTAACGTAATTATTATCAGGTTGTCGGTTAAGCTCTTTCTTATGTTAACAGACAACGATCGATTGCTAATTTCTAACGATACGCGACGCTGTATAAATTAATGCTAATCGCATTCATAGAAAATTGACGATGTAACGTATGATAGTCGTCGTAATTCGGTATTACCTCGTTAACGAAAGGAATCATATGGCAAGTGTTGTAGAGGAGAGGTCTCTGGTTCAATTATCGAGGGAAAAAGTTCGATCAGTAAACGAGGTAATACTGCATCGAACTCTACTTTTCATTTTCCCCATACACTATCTACTACACGTTTTGAAAGTGATCATCCTTTCTACAGATTTTGACATTCCATCGTGTTAATTTTCCCCACTATACTCATATCTATTAATAATTATTATCGTAATTTTAATAGTATCACGTGTATATTTAATATCAAGATTTTCTTACCAATCGAGCGCAGACCAATACATTTAACTATTTATACCGATGAACTTATTACTTTTCTACTTTTTTTAAATTTAGTAATTCTTATATTTTGTAAAAATTACAAATATTCCGGGTGAATGTAACAATTTTAGTGGCTATGTTTTCCGGGCACCGTGCCGTTATTTCGAAATCATTACACTACATTCAGCTCGATGATACGTTGATGTTGATACAGTTTCCACGAAGAAACCTGTAAAAAGAAAAATGAAGTTTGTAACAATAGCGGAAGTAAGAATCGACTGTCGTTACCATAATACATGGCCGGTAGCTTATGTAAATACATACTTGGTTGCCGTGGCAACCGAGGGTTAACGAAAGGGGTCGAGTGATAATCAAGGATTAAGCTTAAAAATTTTCTCGCGTTGACCCGACAGTGAGTCGAGTATTCGCAAGAAACGATCAAGCTTGTTAAACAACGCGGTTCGCTTCGGTAAATTTACCTTCACTTTGACGAACTTTTTAGCACAGCCTCGATAACGCAACAACCGCCGCGCAATACGAACTGAAGCTATTGCGTGTAACAACGTTACAGACAGACTCCGAGCATTCGCAGAACAAACGCTTGTAAACGTATCGTCGACGCCCGAGAAGAGTGCTACAGACTCCTCCCTTGGCTGGAATCTTGTGGCACTCTTCTCGCGCTCGTACGCTACTTTTAAGCTGTAGAAACTCTTACTTTTTCGTCGTTCCTTTCTTCGAGTGAATTCCATTCAGGCAATGTCATAAGTTAGGTTTACACGCGTGTAATCCGCGATTAGATACGTAAAATAGAGATTCAACGTTTAGATGAATATTATCGGCGAACCAGCTGCGAAGTAGAGCAATACTATCAGCGATCCAGTTGCGTTGATCGTAGTGAAAAGATAAAAAAGAACAAAAATATTGGATTATATCGCGCGCATGTATATTGTGTTCGTGGAATGTTCGTTGCGTTTAAATTAGTTTGGAAACAAAATCGACAAAGGAATTTCGCGCGGGATGGGTAGATCGTAATTTTGTAATAGCACGAAACGTCTGTAATTGTCGAGAAACTCGACGATTGCGTTTCGATGGCTTCAACGCATTCCCGAGTCTGTCGGTGGACGAGCTTCAGCTTCTAATTAGACGATACCTGTATATTTGTACACGATAAGTACTTCGGTTAAACGAACTTAACTAGATTTAATGAAATTACGTGGGAATCGTGTGGTTCGAATACACGCCAACGTTTTCAGTTCCGTTTCCGTTGCTTTGATGAGTACACGTGTTATATGGATAATCGGCGTTATCCAAATAACGATGAAATAATAGAAACATACTAGGTAAGGAAATGTTTGCAAATGAAATTGATAAGTGTTTTAATATTGTATCAAGGTGTACGTACCAAGAACGAAAGGAAAAGATGAAAATAACAAAAAAAAAAAAAAAAAAAAAAAAATGATACAACGGACAGCGTTACCAATATCGATGCCTCTTGACCCTTTATTCACTGTAACGATAATGGGTACACTTTGCGATCGAGACCCCTAATACGTAAAGCACCGCGAAGGGGTAGTCTTTGTTTGTTGTACGTTTCAGTATAGCGTCAGACATTTTTGCGGGACGTTGATTCAGTGCTGGTGTCGCCGAAATTTTTCGTCCACCGATGTTTACCTGTCGGTGGATTTAGCAATAAAATTTCATTTGCCTCCTGACTCCCTAACCCCCAACCCACTCCTCCGCCCCATTGTCAGCTCGAGGATTTACGAATAGAAGCAATCGCAGCATTGAATCACGCCACACAAGGATCAATAAGTTGCGAATAAGTATATGTATTTTCTCAATGAAAATGATAAAAATATATATATATGATAAAATACTTTCACTGTAAAACTTGTTCTTTTGTATCGGAACTCCCGTCTTATCCAGTCTTCCTTCCATCACACGGTTTAACCACACTTATAATATTCTGTAAAGAATAAATTTCTTTATCAAATTGTAGAATGGAGTATTCCACAACGATCCAGCAAAAACTTAACAGTTCAATTGAACGAACTGCTATATACGTTGTCCATCACTGGTAAAAGCCCCTGCTCTGCGAAACAAGCTATTATGTTAAGGGTCGTGCTCGGTACTGCGTCCCTACTCCTTAGCAGATTTCGATATGCCATGAAACCGTTGTCGCTCATTGTCATGAACGGTACGGAAATTACACCCCTCGAAGCATTCATTATTCATCGATTAATTTTCCAGATATAGTTAATCGTGACCGCCGGTGGAAAGGGATACAATGCTATTGCGAGAAGCAATATGTGAAATAACATCTGGTAAGATCAAAGTAAATATCAGACCTCTGTCCGCCACCTCAAAGTACTTTTGATAGATGCTCCCTAGAAAGACTCATGATACAAAGCTCTCGTTATCAAGCGGAAATTTTGTATATGCATAAATGATTATAATCTTAACGATGGGAGACGACATTTCTATAACATTGACGTGCCTTTTGATGAAAGTAGCTGGTCTTTGGTTGGCGTCCAATGCGGCAGAACAGCGACTGAGGTGGCTCACTTTGACGTACACCGTCGGCATGCTTTCTTTGGGTCTCTACGTGAACTTTGCTGATATCTGTAACACCTTGGACGACATTAGCGTGAGTACATAAAATAATTCGTCCATCGACGTGGAAAAGTTGCTTGTGGTCATCGTGCTTGAGATCGACAATGTTTGAATCGAGTAACATCACTGGCGTTCTAGGCCAAGAAGACGTTGGCCCTTAAGTTATCACAGATTCCAAATTTTAGTACATTTATTTTGAGATTATTCTTACTGTTTGTAAGGTACGTACTAATGCTTAAATTAAAAATTGTTTAATAATGATTTTATAATGGTGGGCTATCTTTCTTTAAGAAGCATTACACGGAAGACCTATTTTAATTAACGCTGGAAAAATACCTTCGTAGCAATTCAAATTAATTGAAGTCGATAATCAACAAATCTCTTATAAAATTTTTTATTTTTTCAATTTCAGAACGTCTTGTATGGTATTTGCAACGTTACGTTTGTCATCGTGGGGTCGTTCAAATTTGTCGTGTTGTTTTTGCAAAAAGCGAAATTCGTTAATTTGGTTCAGTACACGGAGTGCAACTTCTGGCATTCGAATTACGATCCACAGGAGAAAATACTTCTGGCTGAATGTCGACGGATTTTCACGTTTATCATTGTTTTCGCCTATTGCATACTAAACTCATCACTAGCCAATTACATACTCACGCCCTTAATTAGTGAGTTTGTTAACATTCGTACGGAAACTGCGTACACAGTAATGGACTAAGTTGTATTATTATTCCGTGCAAAGTGAAATCATAATTTAAAGATGAATACTTATATTTTTTCATATTAATAAAATTCTGTTATTCGGCATATGTGTATAATATCTTTTTTTAGATTTTTATCTCCTTTTTTTTAAGACATACTTTAGTGTTCAACCATATACTAACGACGATATATAATATTATATTATTTAAATATAAATGAAGAGCATAGAAAACTCTGACATTTCGGTACCTATAAGATATATGATTATTAAATTATTCGAGTTGCCTCGGTTTTGGCAGAGAATCCGTTTTTTCTTCAAAATAGATTTCCATGACCACCACGACTAATATCACTACTATTCATATCACTCCTATTTCAGTGGACTATGGTAAAAATCAATCGGAAAGATCACTTCCATTCAATACATGGGTAGACTTGCCACTGACTGTGTCGCCGTATTACGAAATCACGTTCATCATACAGGTAACGTGAATTTCGATCGATCAAGGATTTTCCAAAAGAGCATTTCGCATGTTATTCGGATATTATGTTTGATTTCATTATGTTATGGATAACTCTTTATTGAGATAATCAATTTTCTGTTTACGCAGATACTGTGCTTGGCTCAAGTCGGAGTGTGCCATATTTGCTTCGACACCTTTCTGTCCTTGATCAACTTCCACTTGGCCTATCAATTTCGTATATTACAGTACAGGCTGAAGAATCTCTGGGAATGCTCTGACAAAGACAGGGATCTGACTGACTATATTAATAAATGTCACGTGACGTTGAAGAAGTGCGTTCGCCAGCATCAGGCACTCATCCAGTACTGCGAGAAAGTCAACGACATATACTCGCTGAACGTTCTTGCATTTGTGTTGGCTTTAAGTTTATTGATCTGCTTGACTATGTATCAAGTATTGATGGTACGTATGGGCAACGTGATGATCTGATCTAAACAATGAAGACGCCGAAATTTAGACGCGTGCAAGAGTCATAAAGGGGACGTAGGCATCCAGGGGATTGTGTCTGTAGAAACAGACTCACATCATCCGAAGGATAAACTTGATACTCTAATATCGAAGGCTTAGGTGCTGGCTAGAAATTATTTTTCATTTTCAAGCTTCGAGTAGCTATTTCTCATTTTAATTTCTAATCAAATTTATCTAGGTCAATTTCAAATTTGCCTGATAATAATCCAACGTTTAAATGATCTAGTTATTCACCCTCGTTCATAAATATGTAGACACTAACTATCCTCAATGAGTAATTACTATACACCGTAAATTATTACTATACAACTTTTGTTTTTAAATTCTCTATTGGATGAGTATTTAACATCATTTAATAATATTAAGTGTTTTGAATACCATATTCAATTTTATAACGGAACTCTGGGATCGTTCGGATGAAAAATTTCAGAAAGAATGTCGAAATATAACCAAATAAATGAGATAATATTACTTTGGATACAATGAAAAAATTAATAGTATCCAAGTTTGGTAAAAGAAATTTTAATATTGTAGGAGTCTAAACGAAAAATAAGGCACGGGGATTCGAACTCACGATCCTCGGATCCACAGTCGACCGCTTTACCTACGCGACCAATCCTGTACCCTACGTTTCGTGTTCTTATTTGACTCCTTATTGTTGGGTGTGGGAGGCGCGGACACTACACTCGACCATCCTGAATTGACATTCATTCGCCCTCGAATGTCCGTTTTCTCGGTATTTGCGTCTCAACAGCAGTGCGCGCCGCGCCCTCTTTCGCCGTTTCTCCTTTTTTTTGGGGAGTCTCACTCCGACAACACTTCGAGTTGCCCCTTCCCTGGAGTGTACTCCCCCCTCTCTTTCTCTCTCGACGCCTCACTGCTGCCCGCTCCACCGTCAACACGACACCCGTCATTCGTTTCTCATTGTTGTTCATCGTGACTCATCGTCACTGGCCGGTCGTCTTCGGTGTAGTTGCCGCCGCTGTAACCCCCCATCCCGGACGAGCCCCCACAATGTGGGAGTCTAAACGAAAAATAAGGCACGGGGATTCGAACTCACGATCCTCGGATTCACAGTCGACCGCTTTACCTACGCGACCAATCCTGTACCCTACGTTTCGTGTTCTTATTTGACTCCTTATTGTTGGGTGTGGGTGGCGCGGACACTACAATATTATCTTATTTCTATAGATTTTATCATTACTAATTTGATATTTAAAAAAAAAACTATTAATAAAATATATTCGCTAATGCAACATAAACATATCGAAACATAAATGATATAATTGATATTAAATAATTCGCAACTTTTATTGGATATTTATTTCTACATATTAAGGAAGCGTCTTAGTACTTCTGAGCTTGTATACACTAAAGGACATGCCCATTCTTATTAGCTACGCGAATACGACCCCTCTAATAAATTATAATCTTACTTGATCGCCTTGCATTGATATTGTGTTGTGCAAAATGTGTACAGGTCGATACTACTCTTACGATGCGGGTGACGTTCATACTGCTCACATTCGGAAGCTTTGTTGAGATAGTGATGTTCACGTACAGCTGCGACCTTTTGATACAGGAAAGCAGGAACGTTGGCTTGACAATCTACTCTGTGGGATGGACCAATTTGCCAATGAATAAGATTGGCAAGTCGCTGCGATCCAGTATTAGTATTATGATTCTGAGGGCGAATCAACCGTGTTATATAACTGCCGGTGGCTTCTTCCCCATGTCTTTGGAAATTTCCACCACTGTACGTGACGTCATGTACTATTAAACGTGAGATACTGAAGATATTGCGAATATTAAGTCAGAAATACTATGCTACAGGTATTTAGCACTGCAATATCGTACTTCACATTACTGACAAATTCAACCCAAGAGGATGAGTAACCAAGTAGATTGATCAAACGATGTTGATTGTAGGTAGTTGTCGAATCATTAAGCAAGTAACATAAAGAGTTCCGTGATTGCACACAAGGTAATGTTTCATACGAATGTAACGAATTAAATGCAATTCTACAATTTATATGAAGACTTACTTCGATAATTCGAAACAATGATAAATTGAAAAATTAATTTCAAGTATAATTTTTTTACCCGCATAATAAACAAATAATTTCCTCTTAATTTCTCATAAGTCACATAAGTCATTGTAGTAATATTTTACATTACAACAAGGTGACATTTCAACACTTCCCTTCATTAAAATTTAGATAAATCCTAACAACTACATTCAAGCATAAATATACAAAAACTTAAATGAAACACGTAAATACGTATCCATATATGTTGTCTGCACCATCATCCAACCAGTCACATTACTCGATACCATTCTACACGCCGCGCCGATTCACGCGTACGATTCACGTGAACTCGTTTAACATCTCTTCTAATTAATCGATAATCAGAACTGAATGTCCCCTTTGGTAACTCATTTCTGCATCCTCTTCATTACAACGATACCAGCCCTATTGATCTGGTACCAGTGTTGTCTTTCGTTTTCACCTTGTGTCGGAGACCTACTGCCTGAATTATATACGACGCGTCAATTCACACGGTGGCTACTGCGGAACTGTAATTTTCTCATCGCTTCTTGGTACTCTGGTACTGACAAAGACCGTTTGAACGAGCTTGGCACCCTTGATCGTCGGTCGAAGTGTTTCTCTTTATGACCCCTGACATATAGTAAAAAAAATGGAGAAGTCCGTTCCCGAGGTGAAGTTCACCGTTTCAGATAGCGCGCATACACTCACCAGCGCGTCCCACAAAGAAGACATATCCATACCGATAACGAGAGTTTGCCTGAAAGTTGTTGGTCTCTGGCACGCGAAAGATCACGTGGAGCAACGTCACAGAAAGTTCATGCTGTTTTACACGATATACGCGATGCTGTACGGCGTGGTTCTCCAGACGAGAGACTTTTACTATTCCTGGCCAAACCTCACCGTGAGTGACTATTTAGTGATAAGGCTTTAACTCTGATACGCTAGCTTCTCAATCGCTTTTTTTCTTGCATGTAAAACTTCACACGTGCTTCGAGTTACTTGGTGCTCTATGAGTGTACCTGGAACAAGAAATTAGTATATGAAGGATTTACTAAATAAATTGTTGGACCATACACACCTTTTACATTTTTGTCTATGTAGAACTGGTGCAACACGTTCTAGCAAGTGCACAGTTGTAACAAGCCATTTGTTATTCTTAAATACTTTCTTCGCCAATATAATATGCTTATAATTTCCTCGCTCTAGGCCTGCATATACGCGGTATCCAACATACTGTGTCTGATTTTGATTTTATTAAAATTGTTCATTGTGTACAAGGACAAAAAGAAATTGTTCGAGTTGATTTTGTATACGTATAAGCACTTCTGGCATGGGAATTACGACGATAACGAGAAAGCGATGATCGCTGATTGCAAACGACTCTGTACATTGAGTATCGGAATTATCAATGTCTGCGTACAGAGCACGCTCACTAGTTACGTGCTGACGCCTATCATAAGTAAGTTAATGAATTTAGACGATTATATATCAAATTACGGTCTTATGAACTATGTTTCACAATATACGAACAAAATTTATACATACGTATAGCACATATTTATACGAACTTTTTCCATTGTTTATACAGTCCGTTTCATAAGTATTCGCACCCTCTATGTCTATTGAAGAAATTTGTCGCTAGCAAATGAAAAATCGTTGCACACACATATTTTGAAAGAGCATTTCTATTTCAGCCAACATTGGAAAAAACGATTCGGACAGAATCTATCCATTTAGAATGTGGATAGACTCTCCAATATTAACCACATCACCGTATTTCGAGATCATATTCACGACGCAGGTATTGTAAGCATCGACGCCTTATAATATTTTCACTAGACACGCTAAACTAATAAATATTTATTTTTTTTTTCACGGTGACTTTGCTTAATATGCCATAACGTTAACGTTACTTTCATTTATTCAACCCAAGAGACTCATGTCTCGTACAAAAAGCATAAAGAATATATTTGATTAAAACAATATAGTAATATTAATATTTAACTTTGAATGAGTGTACACTGCATATCTGCATTCTTGTAGGAATTAATTATTGATTGGTTGTCTATTAACATGCTGTTATTTGTTAATGCAGGCTGTAGCTCTGTTTCACATTGGTAAATGTTATATTAGCAGTATACTGAACCTGCACGTAACCACGCAATTTCGAATACTGCAGTACAGACTGACCAACTTGGCCAGCACAGACGCGGAAAAATCGAGCGTAAGTTTGTCGGATTATGCAGAGAAATGTTACTCGCGATTCAAGTGTTGCGTGCGGCAGCACAAAGCGCAACTACAGTATTGTAATATACTGGAGAGTATATTTACGATAATAATACTGGCACACGTGCTAAACTTCAGCATGCTATTCTGCCTGCTGGGCTACCAAACATTTCTGGTTTGTATTTGTCATTTGCAAATTATATATGCTCCTCTCGCACGATTGCTTCATGATTTATTTGCAATTCGTTGGATTCAAAATCATTTTCATTAAATAGATTGCTATAGTTCGAAGGACAATTATACGAAATTGTATTCTCTTCAGGTCGACGGGTCTCTAGTAGAACGCTGTGTTTTTGTATTTCACGTAATGGCCGACTTGTGCTCGTTACTGTTGTTTACAGCCAGCTGCGATGGTTTGATAGAGGAAAGTTCGAATATTGGTTGGGCGATATATTCAGGGCCATGGATAGATCTGCCAATGGATGACGCGGGCAAGAAACTACGGAGAGATTTGAGTATGGTTGTTCAGCGATCGAAAAAACCTTGCTGTCTAACTGGCTGTGGATTCTTTCCTATCTCCTTGGAAACTTATACCTCGGTAGGCTACATCCTTTTTTTCACAGATATATTTCACAGTGCACTGAACATTTTTTTTTGATTGATAGAGAACATATTATTCAAAGAGTAATATAAAAAAGAAAGTGTAGAAAATCGAGCATACAATGAGATGTAATTTGATTGAACAATTCTAAGTCTCAGATATTTTGCTGCAGGTTATCAGTACAGGTATGTCTTATTTCACTTTAATCAGGCAGTCCATGGTGAACTAGTCGTAAACTGTGAGTAACAATAAACAATATTATCGATACGTGTGTGGAACAAATTCAAGAATGTAAAGTATATTTCTTGAAAGAATAGTGATGTTTTATTACCTTTCACCATGACGTCTATTATGACGTCTAATATTAAAAAAGATATTTCGGTGGGAATTTGATTTACACTTCACTCCACTTCACTTCATGCTTGAAAATTTAAGAATTCTATCGAATATTTCTTTAATTTATTCTCCATTCTATTTCACTTCAGGATCGAAGACTTACCTTTCAAATTCTCTTCAAGTGATCATCCTAAGTACATATACTTTCGTTTCATTCGTTATCTAGAATTCGAATAAAATTCCCGTCGCAGTGCAAAACTTCATCGTCTCAATTAACAAACATGTACGTACTATATCGAAGTATAAAAAGAAGTCAGTCCTTCAGAGCGACGACGCGCATAACACCGATCCATCCACTGATCCATGCTCGTCTTCTGCTGTCTTGAGTGAGACTGAGCTCACCCATCGCTGGCAGGCATGAGTAATTGCACGTTGCTCTATTCACTGTCATCGTTTCTTTGTTGTCGAAAAGGGTGACACCTCCCTTGCACCGTGAATAATGCACTCGAATACCTAACGTCATTGCGTCACACGGGACAGGATGGTCGTAGACGCGCGATCTCCGATGGTCGTTGAGGATAATCAATGGATCAAAGTGTTGTCAGGGTGAGGGACGTTCCTTTCGCGTTTTCTCAAACGAAATCGATGCAGAAAAGCTTTCGTACGAGACCTCGACAAAAATTTTCAGCTATTTGAACCCAGCCATGCGCTCGGCGCAGAGTAAGGACGTGTCCATCATTTGGACGTGCTTCTTGATGAAAACCGTCGGCTTGTGGATGGCCGCCGATCGCGCAGAGCAACAACGTAGAAACTTCGCGTTGATATACACCTGCTCTATGCTCTTCATTGCCACCTGCATCGCGATAAGGGACTTCTATTACTCCTGGGGCAACTTCAATGTGAGTGTGCGTTAGGTCCACAGATTGGAAGACGTTTTATTCGAATAATAGGTAACGAATGCAACGAACGAGGAGGATTGTCCGATTGACAGTCAAGTCTTCTGTTCTTTGCGTTTCGAAGTTTGAAGGCTTGGCTTTTAGATTGTTTTGAATAATATAAGTTGGAGCTTTTTCGAAGCTCCGATCTTTAAACTTTCTCGAGTAATACGAATCCGGCACCTTTTCGAATCTCCGGATTTAAATTCTCTTAGGTAAACGATGGAAGAACTTCTGAGGCGATCGTGTCGAATCATTTAGAATTCCTCAGCTTTGAGATCGCCATTGAATTGTCCAATTTTTAATTATCGAAAATAATAATTCTAATTAATGGATGAACATCGAACAAACTTTGACATTTCACGCTTTTGTGATTCATAATTTTGTAATTCCAGGACTGCGTTTATATCGCGTGCAATATTATGTACCTCATGGTCGTACTCTTTAAGATCGCCGTGTTGTACACACACAGAGTGGAATTTTTCGATTTAATTCTGTTCACGCAAAAGAATTTCTGGCATTCGAATTATAACCTACGGGAAAAATTAATTCTAGACGAGTACAAGAGATTATGCGCTCTTTTCATCGTTATTCTTAGCTTTTGCACACAAGGCACTTGCGCTGGTTACATGGTGACGCCAATTTTGGGTGAGTCGAGCAAGGAATTAACAAACATTGTCATTTGCATCGGTGTAAATTATTTTTAAGCCATGTAACGAATGAAAATCGGTATTTATAGTTATTAAACGTTTGATTTCTTCGTTTGAGCCGTTCATTGGACAAATCGATTCAATTTAAACATTTGCACTCCATAAAACAAAATGTTGAGAAATGCGATGAAATAATGTACAGCCAGTGTAATAAGTAATCCTACAGGAACCATTTATTTTAAATTGGTTGCTGTACGAATACTTCTTATACTGACTGTATATTGTTTTTTGAAATTCCCTTTGTAATATAAATTCAAATAAATATTGAAAAAGTGTTTCCTTGTCAGGAAAATTATAATAAATATAAAAAGTTACGATTATATCAAGTACTTTGATACTTGAATTTAAGATTTTTCAAAAAGAGGAGTTAATCGATTTGCCCAGTGTACCATAAAAGTTCTAGAGATTTTGCGATTTGGATGAACTTTTTCTTACATTTTGAAAAATAAACTCTTTCGCTTTACATTTCAGGAAATATCGGGAAAAACGAATCCGAAAGGATACTACCATTTAACATGTGGCTGGACTTCCCCACAGGAACCTCGCCTTATTTTGAAGTACTATTTTTAATACAGGTATACAGCTACATTTACATAGAAAATCCATTCCTTTCCGTTTATAAAATAATTAAAGTTCATATTGTGAATTTTTTCTGCAACTTTCATAGCGACACTTTTTTTGAATATTTATATTTCCAACCTGTTCGCGTCAAACAAATAAAAATTCTACAATCATTGAATAATAAAGTTTACAACAATCTGACAGTGAATCATGTCTGTACAGATGCTGTGCGTGTACCACGTAGGTGTGTGTTACATTTGCTTCGATAATTTCTTGTGCATCCTAAATCTGCACGTAGCAAGCCAGTTTCAAGTGCTGCAATACAGATTGATGAACTTGACCGACATCCTCGAGAAAGAGAGACACATTCGAGCGTCCGATGAAAGCCTGTCGCGTTACGCGAGCACGTGCTATCAAAAATTGAGGAATTGCGTTAAACACCATCAGGCACTTATGGAATACTGCAGGATGCTTGAGAAAATATTCACACTGATAGTGTTGGGTCAGGTGTTGTTCTTGGCTATGATCATATGTCTCGTGGGATACCAAATATTCCTGGTTGGTACTATAGAAGAAATACACTCGCGCATTAACGTTGTAAGATTATCCTGCCAAAAATTGTATTGCAATTCGTATTTTAAATTCTGAATACCGGACCATGAGATGGATGTCATAAGAGCATGCAGTTGTGATATAATTTATATGCAAACCTGTACTTCTATTTGGTTCATTGTTTGATTTTTATGCAGGCAGAAACGCCACCATCGAGAAGCGTAAGTTTGGTGCTGACCATGGCTGCTACTTTGTGTCAGCTCTTAATGTTTACATACAGCTGCGATGGCTTGATACGACAGAGCAGCAACGTCGGCGGTGCAATATTTTCAGCGCCATGGGCCATTTTTCCAATGGATCAAATCGGCAAATCGCTGCGCAAAAATACGACTATAATGATTATGAGGACGACCAGATCTTGTTGCTTGACAGCCAGCGGCTTCTTTCCCGTTTCTTTGGAAACCTCCACTGCGGTAATTAATTATTTTACAATTAAATCTGATGTATTCGTTAATGATTATGAGGACGACCAGACCTTGTTGCTTGACAGCCAGCGGCTTCTTTCCCGTTTCTTTGGAAACCTCCACTGCGGTAATTAATTATTTTACAATTAAATCTGATGTACTCGTTAAAGATACGCGACTGGATTTACTTTGAAAATGTACGGGAATCTAACTAACTCATCAAAGAGGAAATCGACGAAATGTAAAAATTTGTTATATTACTTTTGTATAGCCTTGCGAAAATGAATATCTTTGTTGCAGGTTCTTAGTACAGCGATGTCGTACTTCACTTTATTAAGACAGTCGACACTTGATATGGGAAACGCACACTTAAATTCATGAAACTATTTGTTTATATTCAATGTGCTCGTGTAAATACATTCATACATTCACTCATTCATTAACATGTAATTACTAATACTTCTAATACTTCGAACACTTGAACGTTTACAAATTTCAATATTGACAACATTACAACAAAAACATTTACATAGTACGTTCATATAAACTGTAAATTCTTCTTGGAGGAATAAAATAACAAATGGGAGACAAATTTGAGTAGTGTGTTCACCTCTTGGACATTACGAACCTGAAAAATTGCAAAAACTATTGAATTCTCAAGCTGTGGACTGACTTCGCTAGGAAGATTGAACTGAGAAACCGCCTTATCCAAGTGATACACCGTTACGTACTCTTAAACAGTTTTTCCTCGTTAGCTTACAGAAGTATCACTGTCACCCCTAACTACAGGTAGCTTCGACGCGTCTTTCTATGCATCGTCGCGACACCTGTTCAATTGTATCCTGGTAAATAATGAATCGATTCACCGCTATCTCTCCACTTACTCATCCACTTTCTCCCTTCACATCTGAAAGCAACAGTTACATAGCTTGTTTGAAGTAAGGTAAGACAGGACGTGTGAAAGTTGTACACAGGATACGTGACGAGTACATCAGCGTCGCGTCACTGGGAATAACTATCCTCCGCGTCGATGGCGATCGATCCGAAGTTGAAAATTCTCGACACACGGTCATTTGTATTTCGCCATGTGCGCGAAGCAGAGCAGAGACATCTCCCTCGTGATGACGTCGTTCTACTTGAAGATCGTGGGGATGTGGTTAGCGAAAGATCGATCAGAGGAATGCCGAAGGATGGCTGCCATGATCTACACAGTTTGGGTTCTGTGCCTCGCCATGTCGTTCGAAATTCGGGATCTTTACTATACTTGGGGTGGAGACTTTGGTGTGAGTGTGATAACAACTGACTCTCGCGAATCCACCTGTGTGACATAAAGTACGAACTTTAACTTCAAAGAATATTTATTGTGTTTCTGTGAATGTAAATAAACGGAGAAAACACCTCTAATTTGAGGTGAATTATAGACTTTAAGGACTGTAGCTACAAAGGACCTCTATGCGCCCAACATATGCAAACTGTGTTTTCTGATTATAGGAATTAATTTACGTAATGTGCACCATTATGACTGCTGTGATGGTTTTATTCAAGATACTCGTCTTGTTCTGGCAAAAAAAGAAATTCCTTGAGTTGGTCGCGTACCCGAAAAAGAATTTTTGGCATTCGAATTACGACTGCTACGAGAGAATGGTTATAAATAACTGCAGCCGTACCTGCACGTACTTCATTTGCATCTTTAATTTCTTTGCTCAATCTACAGTTATCAGTTACGCGATATGGCCAATTATGGGTAAGACGGACTCACATCTGCAACGAATAAAATACACATTGCATGATAAGTTCTAAGCAATAACAGCATGATGTACTGTTACAACGAAGTATTCACAAAGTTCTCATATTTTCCTAATGGATAGAGTGTTTATTATCCTAAGAGCCTCCCGATAAAAAAGTAGAATGCACATTGTTTCAGAAAATGTAGGAAGAAATGAATCTGACAGGATGCATCCTTTCAACATGCACATTGACGTCTTAACTAAGTCACCCTATTTTGAGATGATGTTCGTAGTACAGGTATCATGAATTATTATACTCTTTCCTCTGTTGTTATGATATAATTCCCCATTGCGGATTTCATGCATTTACGACGTACACTTATATGAAAAACGTACAAAATATGCATAGTGCATGTAACATGTGTTCTATTAATTCATATAATAATATTAATATTTCGTTGTGCATAGATGCAAATATCATTTGGTTGTGTTTAAAATTAACAGACAGAACTTACACTACTCTATAATCTGCTAACTGTAAATATTAATTAACTACACTTGCTCAGGTTCTAACTGCATACCACATAGGCGTGGGTTACCTCTGCCTCGACAATTTCCTCTGCGTCATAAATCTGCACGTTGCTTCTCAGTTCCGTATACTACAGTACAGGTTCGTAAACATACACACGGTGAAGATGGAAGAGAAGTCGAAGGAAGCCTCAGACTCAGCTACGTTGTATCACTCAAACAAATGTCACGACTCGTTTAAGAGATGCATCAAACAGCATCAGGCGCTCCTAGCATACGGCAACAAGTTAGAGGAAGTGTTCGCGGTAGTTGTGCTGGGACAAGTGGTCCTCTTCAGTTTACTGATGTGCCTCGACGGATATCTGATACTTCTGGTTAGTACACGTTACAAGTGTAAACCAACATCGTCAAGCTAACGAAGTGGATGTTTATTCCTTGTATAGTTTCTTAGCATTTGAAGTAATGTAGTGCATGAAGGAACTTAAGTTCTTGGTTCGAATCTTTCATGTATCAGAATGGTATTTACTACGTCCATTGGATTAAAACTCTATGATATCATTCATTTGATTTCGTCGAATAAATAGGAGTTTTTTTTAAATTAATTTATATTCAGATGTTGCCACGAATAGTTAGGCAGCGAAATATTCAGCTCAAGGTTCTAACACACTGCGTTCTTCAGGGTGAGTTGAGTGAAGCGAGGCGCCTGATTTTCGTAATTCACATAGCAGGCTGCATGTGCCAGCTGTTGATGTTCACCTACAGCTGCGACTGTTTGATTCGAGAGAGCACGCGTGTAGCTTCGGCAGTCTACACAGGACCGTGGCTACGACTGCCGATGAACGAAGGTGGTAGAATGCTTAGGAAAGACATGCTTTTTGTAATAATGAGATCGAGAGTGTCCTGCTGCCTGACAGCAAACGGATTCTTCGTTGTATCGTTGGAAACGTATACTAAGGTGAGCGGTGTTGGGGCTCTCACAACTGGAGAATGTCAGAGACGCAGTAGCTATTCAATTATGCGATAGAAAATCCGAATTTTTGAAAATATTTTGTTTGCAAACTCTTGGGGGTATATCAAAGTTTTCCTGACAATTTCCAAATAGGAATGAGGTCGTTTCATTACATTTGTTAAAGGTGTTAAGTACAGCAATATCGTATTTCACGCTGCTGAGAAGTTACTAAAACGTATGAGAGAAATTCAAAGAGAAGAGGACATTTTTCTGGAACTCCCAGTTGATTTTGAACTGAGAATTTGAACATTATTTGTTTACAATGACTTGGCAAAAACGTGATTAAAGGTAGCTATTATACGGCAAGGTCTGTAAACGAAAAAATAAATTAGACTTGTCGGGACTATTGAGGAGGGACAGTTCATGTAGTTATAATATAATTTATATACAGACTTCTATTTCCAAATGATTTATTATTTAATATTTATGGAAGTAGGTACACCCATCCTCGCGAGGCATTAGTTTACGTACTGTTGCGATCGTTTGATAGGACACCGCGCCATGGGCCATTTTTCCAATGGATTGAATGTAAACTTTGTGAAAATAAAGTTTATGGCAATGAGACAGTTCTCTAGTGGTGAACAATAACCTCAAAGATATCGTTATTTTCCATCTTAAATGATTTACGAAACAAAATTTAATACAACGCTTTGGGGGGTTTGAAATCCACTACATATAATATAAACATGCAAACATATATTTCATACTTAATATCAGAAAAGTGACCGTATGTAGACATTATGTATGAGTCACGTAGATATTAATGATAATGTATTTCACAATTCCTTCCAATGGGTGTATTCATCTTCAATACGCCACAAATCTGCAAAGTTGCAAACACTAATGACACCTGAAGCTGTAGACTTACTTTACCAGGCAGATGCTACTTCATCAGAGCTAATCCGGTGTCAATATGTCTGCTTCAAGTAATACACCGTTACGTACTGTTAAATAGTTCTTCCTCGTTAGCTTACAACAGTGTTACTGTAACCCCTGAGGATACAGGGGTTGCAGTAGCTACAACGTCACCCCTGAATCATAAATAATAAATCGATTCAACGCCATCTCTCCACTTTAACCTTCCACTTTGTCCCCTCACTTCTGAGAGCACCAATTACGTGTACCGTACTACCTTACATAGCTCGTTTGAAGTAGGGTAAGACAGGACGTGTGAAAGTTGTACACAGGATACGTGACGAGTACATCAGTGTCGCGTCACTGGGAATAACTATTCTCCACGTCGATGGCGATCGATCCGAAGTTGAAAATTCTCGACACACGGTCATTTGTATTTCGCCATGTGCGCGAAGCAGAGCAGAGACATCTCCCTCGTGATGACGTCGTTCTACTTGAAGATCGTGGGGATTTGGTTAGCGAAAGATCGATCAGAGGAATGCCGAAGAAAGGCTGCCATAATCTACACAGTTTGGGTTCTTTCGTTCAGCTTGTATATCTTATTGTCCGACCTATACTATACTTGGGGTGGAGACTTTGGCGTGAGTGTGAAAACAACTGAATCTCACGAATCCACCTGTGATATAAATTAAGTACGAGCTTTAACTGCAAAGAATATATATTGCGTTCCTATAGTCACAACGGACCTCCAGAATTCAACGGTTGATCCAAAGTTTTGAGAGGCAGTGTCTATGCGCTGAACATGTGTTAACTGTGTTTTCTGATTATAGGAATTAATTTACGTAGCGTGCACCATCATGACTGTTGTGATGGTTTTATTCAAGATACTCGTCTTGTTCTGGCAAAAAAAGAAATTCCTTGAGTTGGTCGCGTACTCGAAAAAGAATTTTTGGCATTCGAATTACGACTGCTACGAGAGAATGGTTATGAATAACTGTAGCCGTACCTGCACGTACTTCATTTGCATCTTTAATTTCTTTGCTCAATCTACAGTTATCAGTTACGCGATATGGCCAATTATGGGTAAGACGGACACTCGATGAAATTTTCTCACCCGAATAGAGTGGTTACTATCGTAGGAGCTACTCGATAAAAACTCAAAAAAAACGCATTGTTTTAGAAAATATTGGAAAAAATGAATCTGAAAGGCTGCTTCCTTTCAAAATGCATTTCGACCTATTATCTATGTCACCCTATTTTGAGATGATGTTCGTAGCACAGGTATTATGAATTATTGTATTCTTTTCCCAGTAATTAATAAATAAATCCCTCACCGAATTTTATGCATTTACGGCTTACACATATAAGAAAAACATACAAAATACGTATGGTGCATGTAGAATGTTTTATTAACTCATGTAATAATATTAACATTTCGTTGTGCATAAATGCAAATATCATTTGGTTATGTTTAAAATTAACGTTAAAAATAGCTGTCTATTTCACCATCTGCGATCTCCATTTTGTCAACTGCAAGCAGAAATTACATACTCTATAATCTGCTAACTGTAAATATTAATTAACCACACTTGTTCAGGTTCTAACTGCATACCACATAGGCGTGGGTTACCTCTGCCTCGACAATTTCCTCTGCGTCATAAATCTGCACGTTGCTTCTCAGTTCCGTATACTACAGTACAGGTTCGTAAACATACACATGGTGAAGATGGAAGGGAAGTCGAAGGAAGCCTCAGACTCAGCTCCGTTGTATCATGCAGACAAATGTCACGAGACGTTTAAGAGATGCATTAAACAGCATCAGGCACTCCTCGCATACGGCAACAAGCTAGAGGAAGTGTTCGCGATAGTTGTGCTGGGACAAGTGTCCCTCTTCAGTTTACTGATGTGCCTCGACGGATATCTGATACTTCTGGTTAGTACACGTTACAAGTGTAAGTCGTGCAACTCGGTAAACCAACATCGTCAAGCTAACGAAGTGGATGTTTATTCCTTGTATGGTTTCTTAGCATTTGAAGTAATGTAGTGCATGAAGGAACTTAAGTTCTTGGTTCGAATCTTTCGTGTATCAGAATGGTATTTACTACGTCCATTGGATTAAAACTCTATGATATCATTCATTTGATTTCGTCGAATAAATAGGAGTTTTTTTTAATTAATTCATATTCAGATGTTGCCACGAATAGTTAGGCAGCGAAATATTCAGCTCAAGGTTCTAACACACTGCGTTCTTCAGGGTGAGTTGAGTGAAGCGAGGCGCCTGATTTTCGTAATTCACATAGCAGGCTGCATGTGCCAGCTGTTGATGTTCACCTACAGCTGCGACTGTTTGATTCGAGAGAGCACGCGAGTAGCTTCGGCAGTCTACTCAGGACCGTGGCTACGACTGCCGGTGAACGAAGGTGGTAGAATGCTTAGGAAAGACATGACGTTTGTAATCATGAGATCGAGAGTGTCCTGCTGCCTGAGAGCCAGCGGATTTTTCATTGTGTCCCTGGAAACGTATACTTCGGTATGTAGCGATATCATTTTTGTTAGAATGGTATTTCAACGTTCACTCGGTATTTCACGTGGATTCGTTGGGAGATTTGTTTCGATATTGCCAAATGAATTTTTCATTATAAATATGAAAACCAATGAGAAGAATTCAATATTCACACGAACTAGCAAACATACTCCTCGAGTTCTCGGCTAACTCCTACCTACACGATTCAGCCCTTCTAGGTTGCCTAGGAGCAAAATTGCCATTGAAGCGTAACATTGCAGCAGTTTGCTTCGAACCGCGCACGTGAGTTCCTCGTGCGGTTAAACGTGCTTGATATTTAAATATTACCCTTTGGATTGTGAAGAATTTGTCATTTTATTTGTTTGCATTGTTAATACAGTCTTGCTGGTGTAACTGACATGTAATTTTTTAAATATTCTGATCACACGTGATGGGTGCTTCGAAATTAAGATATATTTGAAAAATATAATTGTTGGCTCTCTGGAAAATAATAATATTTGTTAAGATTCAAACCCCTGAGTTGTCATTTCGAGTATTTGATTCTATTTCCTGATTCGTATTGCTTAACCAATTACACAGAAATTTAGAGCCATTGTTTCCAAATTCATGGAGGTGGATTTCATGGTGGAAATTCATTTTGCTGGCGATTCTTTCTTTTATTACAGGTGTTGAGTACAGCAGTGTCGTATTTTACGCTACTGAGGAATTACTAAAACGAAGCTCTGCGAATGACAGAAATTCAAACAAAGATGACATTTTTTGACGATAGTATCATGATTGAACAATCTTATTTGAAATACTCAACGCATCCAATAATTACATTTGGAAGGATAGAATTTAACACTGGGAACCATTCACTAAAATCACCCAAACACTTGGAATCTACGTTCAGTGGTAGAGAACCTTGAGTCGCAGCACTCACTTGCAGTTTGTAACAGGTAATTAGACACGTAATCCCTTCAGAAGATAGTTTCGTATATGCGTGACGATGCTCATTTTCACGAAAGCCATGATAGGGACATCGGCGTGGTGCCTGAATAATAAATAACCCATTACTCGGACATTTGGCGTGTGTCCGTGTCATGAGTGATCTTTCAAAGAAACGCAACAACCAAAGGAACATCGCAGTGATAATGACCACCCTCCTTTACGATTCTTATACAATAATAGTTTGTAAGGGACAATCAGCTTCATCCTCAGGTAGTCGACGTTCACGATGGAAGCAGAAACGTTTTCCGACATTTCGATCAAGATATCCACTTTCTACTTGAAGTTCGTTGGTATATGGATGACAGAGAAGGATGGGGATCTACTTCGGAGGAGGATTGCCACAAGCTATACGATCATTGTGACTGTACTTGCTGTGTACTTTGAGACCAGAGATTTGTATTTCTGCTGAGGTGACATCAACGTAAGTACAGTGTTTACGAACGTACAGATTGTGCAAATGTAATGTTTCAATGATTGTTGACCCTTCTCTTGAACGACTTCAACGTAAATACAACCTTTACGCATTGATACCATTTTTGTAGGGTATGCGAATGAATTCCCTTAAGCAACTGTTAATCTTTGTCTTTTTATGGTTATGCCCTTTTAGATTACGAGGTCTATCGGGAATGGACTCGGTCGAATAATTGCATATTAAAATGTATTAAAAGATTATAGCGAATAAGCATTGGTTATTCGATTATTCAAACGTTGTTTCTCTGAATGAAATTCTATTTACTCGTAAAAAGGGAATTCAGTTTTTCTTTAATATCAACTTGAAATAATCAGTTGAAACAACAATATTTGTTAGTTGTGACAGATCTCATAACAATACTATTGTTTTTGCCATTTTTTCAGGCTACGCTTTGGGCTGTCACCCTCAATGCTAGTCTCCTACTGATTCTAATAAAGGTGTACGTCATGACGGTGAACAAAGTGAAACTTAATGAATTGATTCAATTCATGAAAGACCATTTCTGGAAACATAATTATAACTATCGCGAGAAAGAGATCTTAGCCGACAGCAGCATGGTATGTAGTGTAATTGCCATCGCGATTACCATTGGTGGTCATGCTGTTGTTACAATGCAGTGTTTTGCACCAATCATTGGTGAGTTGAAATTAAGTTTCGTCACATATTTCTATAAATATTTAATTAACCTTAAACATTTTGTATCAACTTCCAACCGTTACAAATCTATAAATATTTCATCAGTTTACAAAACTTACATATTTATGGTACGTCCATAGCAGCATAGAATTTCCTCGATAAATATTACGATTGGTCACCGTAAAGTTAATCGTTCTCACCAACCGGGCAGTAACTAATTAATAAAGTGCATTTATGTTGTAGCCAATATGGGAAAAAATGAAACCGATAGAATACTTCCATTCAATATGTTGTGCGATTTCATATTGATCAGTCCCTACTATGAAATTTTCTACTTCGTCCAGGTACTACAGCTTTCAACATCATATCATCGATTAACAAACGCTACAATTTTAATGAAAATTCCAAACAAATTTTCCCCGCTGATGAATGAAACGAATCAACATTTGCACATGAGTGATCAAATTGAAGTTACTAAATGGTTTCATGTGTTCCCAGGTAGCAGTGTATTATCACTCCGTCGTGTGTTTTTTTTTGTTTTGACGAAATTATCTGCCTTATGAGCCTACATGTGTCTGCCCAGTTTCGTATACTTCAATACAGGCTGGTAAATCTGTATGACACAATAGAGAAAATGCAGGATGACAATGCAAATGTAAATGTAACCATGTATTCCTGTAAATGTTATGAAAAATTGAAAAACTGCATTCGGCAACATCAGGATCTCATTAATTTTTCCGCGAAGATTGAGGAAGTGTTCACGCTGATCATATTCGCTGAAACGACAATGGTCAGTGGACTAATCTGTCTTTTAGGGTATCAAATGCTTTCGGTTCGTATTACAAATTTTTGCTCATTAATATCAGTTAAAGAACATTAAGAAAAGTGTAGTTTTATAAATACACTAATTAAATAAAAAAATATTTTTCATAATCCTTAATACTCTTTTCATAAAAGCTACAAATTTGTTGATATCCCCTTAAAATTTAGCAAAATAATATTTAAGGGTATATAATGTTTTATGAACATCGCGAAAACAATGTTTAGTGAATACTTTTATCTTTTACACGCGCAGGGAACAGTAGAATTGCTATCACGTTTGTCCTGCGGGGCTGGCGCGTTTGGTAGCTCGGTCTTGCTACTTATGGTCATGTACTCTTGCAACGATCTGATAGTACAAAGTGACAATGTCAGTTTGTCGGCGTACTCAGCACCGTGGACGCTTATGCCGATGGATAAATTTGGCAGAAGTCTGCGAAACGATCTGATGATGGTCTCGGTGCGATCGAGACGTGTTTGCTGCTTGACTGCGAATGGATTTTTCCCGATATCGCTGGAAACTTACTCCAAAGTAATCACACGTAACATTTTCAATTTATTCCGTTAAGTTGAAACGTGTAAAAAGAACGTGGCCTTGATACGCTATTATTGTGCCAAATTTGGATAAAAATAAAGATCGATATTCTGATAGGAACCTGAAATCTTCGTTTTGATTCTTATAGATTATGAGTACCGCCGTCTCATACTTTACGTTATTGACCAGCCGCACAGAGAGTATGATCGAAGATTGATTACGATCAACTCCCGACGAATTTCTGAGTATGGACTTTATCAATATGTTACATTTTAGATGTAAACCCTCTAACGTTGATGTTCATCTAGTATTACCAGTATGAAATATCGGTATGAAATATATGATTTCCTCGTTCCGACTACTCTGCAATCTAAAGATTTCTAAACCAACTTTGTCGAGGTAAGTTGTAGATATGACATTCCTATTTTCACTTAGCACAAACATCACGTACGCATGCTCTTGGGGAAAGAGCTAAGAATAGGAAAAGTGAATGGTTCTTAATATTTCCAGTTTTCACGTAATGTGCTGTTTTTAATTCCGCGTGACTTTCGAGAGAAAGAAAGTACTCACCGGTTCGGGACGATTTTCGCTTGCGCCACAGAACCACACAAATCGAAAGGTCTGGATACACCTGTAACATTCAATTCATAATATTATATAAGACTAATATTTTCAATAAAATACATCTCAAGAAATCTGCAAGTGCACTTTACACTTCCACTGTTGCATTAAATAAAAAAAGTATACCATCGACAGAGATGGGGATTCAATTTTTTTTCTTAATAACTTTTTGTACCTATACTCACAAAAGAACTGCGGCTTGTCCAAGTTTCTAGGATCACAATGTGTGTTCATCTAGCCTAACATCAACTATTTCCTGTGAGTAATACTCCACGAGATTATTCCAAGCTTCTCACATCATTAACAAAGGTACACCACGGACAAGTTACATTTAATCACAGAAAAATAAATCGTCTTCGAGACTACTTGTATATCACCATGTACACGCTCAAAAACATCTAGGAAACTGTAGACCTTTGTTCTACCTTGTCGAGTTGTACAGTGTTATCTGCCAGTGGGAATAGAGCGCGTTGCAACACTCAGGTAAATCGTTTCAAGAAGGCACTACTTAATGTCAATCCGGTAACGCTCATTTTATGTACATACGGTGCGACAATCTTCATGTCTGAATAATATATAACCCGTCGAGCTGGCGCTTTTCCACTTCTTTATGATACCTATCGTCCCTGGCTCCAGCGTTTTCTGTCCCCTACAGAGATAACCATAATCAGAAGGTGTCAGCTTCGCGATAAAAGAAATACGATAATCATAGCGAAGATCATCACAGTGGGTTGCAATTCATACGCAAGAGAACTCCCAAAGGATAATTGAGGTGTCACCCTCACCCTTAGACAGGTGACGTCCACCATGGAGATAAAAAGGTATTCAGATTTCTCGATCAGAATATCGGCCTACCTTCTGAAGTTCGTCGGCATGTGGACGGCAGGCAAAGACTACGAAATACGCCGAAGGAAGCTCGTCATAAACATTACGTCCTCGATAATGATCTACGACATCTGCGTCGTGATCAGAGACATGTATTTTTGTTTCGGTGATTTCAACGTGAGTAGAGTGCTATATCTATTTTTTAATAAACCGTGTATGGTGTTAGACTTTGAAGAACTGTCGCGGATATAAAAATTTCTATTGAAGAAATATTATACTCTTTACTCGATACTAGAGACTTGCCGACTTTCCAGTTGGCAGTTGCGATGACAAAGATTTTTGCATCAAATCTGAGACCACGTCGCTTAGAAAGGGTGTAGGATAAATTTAGTTGTACTTTGATCGATGCGATTACTGGTTCCTGCTGAAGGAGTTTTACGTAGTTCTCTTTTTCAAGCGAATACATACATTTTGTTTTTGTGTTCTATTCAGGCTTTCGTTTATGCTATCTGCAACGGTCTCATGGTGGGGATGGCGTTGTTGAAATATTTCGCCATTGTTTTCAAGAAATTGGAGTTCCTCGAGTTGATCACGTTCATGAAGGAGCATTTCTGGAGCACTGAGTACGATTATCACGAGGCGGACATATTGGCCAATGTCAGAAATACTTGTGTTTTCTTCATCACCTTCGTTACTTTCAGCGGTCACGGCGCCGGTGTGGGCTATTTCGTAGCAGCCCTCATGAGTGAGTTGGTTTTATGTGTAATTAGCAGGTTTTTCACCATAACTTCTTTTGGTGGGACAGTTCTATAACCACACGTTTGTATAGGTTTCTCGTCTGACCACATACGACAACCATTTCCCTTGTCTGGCTACGTGTCGTTTCTATTCGCCATGTCTGACTACGTACAGTAACTAGTCTCCTTGTATAACTAGACACAGCATTTATAAAGGTCACAATCAGTTGAATTTGAAACTTGGATTAGTGTAGTTTTCATTCAAACAGTACATACATTCAATGGTCGGTATTCAATTTGTCTGGCCAGGCGTTGTCTTATTCTACTTCTACGTCTGACTAGTGGACCAAGACCCGCGTAAGTAGAATATGATTGTGCGTTGTCAGACAAGCAAAATGTGGCCCAATCTGAGCGCATAAATAGAATGGGGTGTGTGTATGGTCAGACAAATGGAACACGATATGTATCCAACACACTTTTAACCACAAAACTTCTACTTTAAATCAGTTATGAACGTAAGTGTTTAATTTAACGCGTTTTTACTTTAGATAATGTCGGAAAAAATGAATCCGAAAGAATACTACCATTCAACATGTGGATCGACACCTTATCGATGTCTCCTTATTATGAAATTATGTATTGCGTAGAGGTACCACAACGTTCCGTACTCGATCGTCGATAACTAAGTATCATATTTTTGCCATAAACTTAACTGAATAAGGGGTAAAATAATTTTCTCGTTTCACAGATAGTAACCGTGTATCCCGTGAGCCTGTCTTTCTTTTGTTTCGACAACATGTTCTGTATCATGTGCTTGCACCTCACCGGGCAGTTTCGTATACTCCAATACAGGTTAACGAGATTATGCCAAACAACGAAGGATCAGAACGGGAATACGGATCTAACAAGTTACATAAATAATTCTTACGAAAAAGTGCAGAGCTGCATTCGCCATCATCAGTCGCTCATCGATTACTACGAGAGGGTTCAGTACGTGTTCGCGTTCAACAACCTCGTGCAAGTATTGGTCTTCAGCGTGCTGATATGCCTCTTCGGGTATCAAATAGCCGTGGTTCGTATTCGACACGAATAATATAGAATACCTTCAGCTAATGGACGATTATCTGAAGCCAAAGAATGAAATGATTGATCATTACATGTTAAATCGTTTGGAGTTTAGATATATAGATTAGATAATATAGATTACACAATTATTTATACATATCTTAATGGATGTTTAAAAATTTTACTAGCTAACCATATATGAATGGACTACTATCTAAGCTATTATTGTTAGAAAAATCAAAGTCGTTTCTAAACTGTAACAAATTTATCTCTGATTCAGAATCGAATAGAATTCTTGCTTAAACCTTGCAACGATAAACAAAAATTTCAGGTTATTCGAACCCAGAACAAACTCAAAACATCATCTCAAAAAGTATGCGTTTTTAAAATAAACATTTCATCGTGTGTGTGCAAAGGTCGTTATCGTTTGAAAAATATATACTTACGCGTGTAGGCTCGCATACCCATGGCGGCACGATGCGTCTTCTTGTTCCTCCTATCCGGCAGCATGTTCTTGCTGCTTATGTTCACCTATAGCTGCAATGGCGTGATAGAAGAAAGCAACAATGTTGGCATAGGCGCCTACTCAGCGCCGTGGACCATTATGCCCATGTGCAAAACTGGGAAAATGCTGCGAAAGGATCTGCTGATGGTCGTTACGCGATCCAAGAAAGTCTGTTGTCTAACAGCGTATGGATTTTTCCCGATATCGCTGGAAACTTACTCCAAGGTAACCACAGTTTCACGTCTTTGTGCTTTATACAAATTTCAGTCAGCTGAAATTAGTAATAACGGACGTTATATTTCTGAAATCACGGATATATTGTTAGCTATTTTATATATCATACATGCGGACTGGACTAAAGGTATTTTTAATGTGTTTCAAACTCAGTGAACTTCGATTGTTACAGATAATCAGTACATCCGTGTCGTATTTCACGATATTAAGACAGCGGTCAGAGGAACTAGTCGAGACGTGAATAGCATGGAGTCCTGACGAACTTATATATTGATATATATTGTCTAACCATGTTTGACTTCATATGTGCCCACCTCAAAAAGTAAATAAATTTTAAAGTGAAATTCAAGCTTACATATTTGCGATACTGTAAAGGTAAAGTCCTTACTATGAAATACTCTACTTTGTACAGCTACTACATATTTTGCCATCGTATCATCAATTCAGGAATGCTACACATTTATTTGAAACATCTGGAACAAATTTTTCTCCACTGATAAATTTCATTAATAAACATTCGGAAATGATTGTACAAATAAATGTTATTAAATGATTTCATGTATTCACAAGTGACTACATTCGATAACACCAGGATTTTATCTATTATTGCGTAAAACTTGACATAGTGTTCGTTCTTGTCACGTTCACGTAATCTGAGAACAAGACCGTTAACAGAAAAATTCTTACTATTTCTCACCATTGACCGCACTAGTAACGAAGCAAAAAAAGAAGAAAATGCATTTAACACTGTATACATGTGTTACCTGACACTTTTCCACCAATTTTTCCTTCTTTAAAAAAAAGTGATACTCGCTTTTTAAACTTTGTGTTCCACAAAATTGCATCAGGCAGCTAGCCTGTATCTATCCTCGCAAGGTGGATTCGTGATACCGTTCCCCAAACCATGCATAAATCATCGATTCCATACATCACTTTCACGTGGAAGGGTATCAATTGAAGTCGCAGCTCCATTGAGACATTTTTCTCTGAAATAAGAGTGCACGAGTTACTCGAAGTATAAATACAAGGGGCACGAACGATAACTAGAGGGCGTCCCTAGATCAAAGCCCAGATTGAATTCGATTATCGATTCGGATAGTCTGCGTAGTAATACCAAATCGAGACGTGTACTTCTTCAAAATTGTATATGAATTCTGATGTTCGGTATTACATTCGTACACGTTATTCTTATTTGTCTAATGCATCTCGAAGTATATCATGCATTTCGTCGAGTATTGCTCTGTGACGTGGACTACTGTATTCATTCGCGCAATGTTCGCGATAACATTTGAGTGGTTTCAAACGAAAATTGTATTTTATTGGAGAATAGTGAGAATAATATTCTACATTGGCTAACAAGAAATGGATAAACATTTATATGACGCAAGTGTACATACAATATAGAAATATATGACGAGTGTAGTTAAACTTGTAGAATTTAACAGTTGCGATTGAAGAATTTAATTTAACTTCTGTTTTCATGTGAATTATATTGCCTGCTTCTCTACTAAAAAACGCAGAGTTCGAAAGTGTATGTTTAGTAGCCCAGTGTTCTCATTTGTAACGCGTTCCACCTGTCAGTCGCAATTGAGATTCACAGAGGGTAGCGCTCTTCCCAGAATCATGCATAACTTATTAGTACCACGCGTAGATCCTAGGACGGCTACAATTATATTCGAAACAATATCATGAGATCATTAAAAATAAATCCAATGCGGTCGATCCGTGAACAATGGGATTTCAGCAGATCAATGCCATATGGCTTTCAACTGATTATCATCGACACGTGAAAATTGATCCACAGTTTGAACGATACGTTTGGAGAAATTCGAAATGATTTTTGGCCACAGCGACGACATTTCCATAGCCATGACATCGCACTTTATGAAGTTCTCTGGCTTCTGGATGGCGACTAATTACGTCGAACAAAAATGCAGAAATTTTGCCTTGGTTTACACCATCATTGGGATGTTACTTCTTGGTTCAGTTCAAGTGGTAGAGTTGTATTATTCCAGGGGAGATTTCGGCGTAAGTATACGTGCATTGGCGTGAAGTAGTGCTATACTCACGAGAAATATTTAGGAAGAATACTCCAGACGGCTGATAAGTTGATTTTGTGAATATTGTGGAACAAGAAAATTAATTAAGTTGAAATATTAAGCAAGGTATAGAAACGCAATTAATATCAGAGAAGAATGCCTGAATCACATTGTGTTTACTTCGTACCTGTACGAACTTTTAGGACGACCTAATAGTAATGTAATTATGTAACAAATAATATCTCACCCATCCGTTACTGAAGATTGCATTGTTCGCAGACCTGTCTCTACATCTTGTGCAACGTCCTAAGTTTGTGCATGTCTTTATTCAAGATATTAATCCTGCTTGAACATAAAAAGGATTTCTTTCAATTAATTCTGTACTTGCAACAGAAATTTTTGCACGGGATTTACGACGACCACGAGAAGAAGATTGTGGGCGCGTGTAAACGCGTCTGCGCGTTCTTCATTTGCGTCTTCACTTGCTGTGCGCATGCTACGGTATTTAGCTACGTTCTAAGTCCCATCGTGGGTAAGTCGACTAATACCTGGAAAAGTGAAAATGATTAGTGCATGGAAGTTACGAAATACTTAAGAAATGTCATGCTTTTAATATACTACCCTTGGAATTGTATTTGGAAAACCTGAGTAACACACATCCACTTTCTTCTGCGACAGAGAACGAATACTAGATTAGTGTTACAAATTGTTATATTCTGAAGTATCTCTCTAATGTATATCTTATGTCTTTCAATATTGCAATTAAGTTAAAAGTTTCGAACCATATAAAACACATTACTTCAAACGAGATTCGACATTTTCCTTTACGTATTACAGTGACCGTTCACAGACTCAAGAATTCAGACTATTAACTTGTCAAATAGGCTGAACGACAAGGCTACATTATTTATATCCTCATTGCAGTTAACATTGGTAGAAACGAAACGGACCGAGTACTTCCATTCCAAATGAGGATTAGCCTAATATCCCTCACGCCATACTTTGAGATAACGTTCGTGCTGCAGGTATTGTCGGTCTTCGTGTTCCACGAGAAGGTTGAAGAAATTCCTCTAACTTTTATTTCGAATAAAATTCTTTGATAATATTTCAAACCTAGTTTCACGAAAAACTCCTAATTTTATCGTTTTAAGACTACGTAAAAGGCAGTTCTGTAATTAAAATAATCGAGCCCTTGGGCATTATTTTGGAGCAGGCATTGTTCTTGTATCAAGTCGGCGTGTGCTACTTTTGCTTCGACAATCTTCTGTGCATCATAAATCTGCACGTGTCTAGCCAATTTCGTATACTACAGTACAGGATGGAAAATATGCAGACCGTGGACAAGGAAAAAGATAGCGATAGTTTGATAACGTGTAAATCACATTCTACGGATAAATGTTACTCGATATTTAAGACCTGCATTCAACAGCATCAGGCGTTAATTACATATTGTAGCAAGCTTGAGAAAGTATTCAGTTCTTTCTCGTTGGGGCAGGTGCTGGTTTTCAGTGTGTTGATCTGCCTTGGAGGATATCAAGTACTCATGGTCAGTATCAGATATTTGTGATATATATTTATAATGTATTGTGATATTGAAGCTAGCATCAGATACTTACATACCAATAAACCGTAGATTTTATGTGTTCATGATACAAGTGAATCTGCTGAAAGATATACATGTATGCACTTATTAAAATCGATATATCAATAATACTATATTTATTCATAATTCATATCCATTTTTTTGCATGTTTTCCATATTAGCATAAAACATTTCTTCCAAATTTCGTACGATTATAAAGTTGATTACCATTACTTTCTACAGTCAAATGCACCGTTCGCAACACGGATGATTTTCATATTCCACATAATGGGCTGCACAGCACAACTGTTCATGTTTACGTACAGTTGCGACTGTCTGATCCAAGACAGTACCAACATTGCTACCGCGATGTACGCAGCTCCCTGGTCGCGTCTGCCTATGGACAAGGATGGAAGAACCCTGCGAAAAGACTTGATACTTGTAATTTTGAGGTCTAGAGTACCTTGCTGCCTGACGGCCAATAAATTCTTCCCCATATCTCTGGAAACGTACACTGGGGTAATGTCATACTTTCACTATTCTCGTAATTGTTGCTTGGTACAGATACCAATGATACTCAACTGTTGTTTGAAAACTTATGCAAGGTATACATGTACGAGTGATTTAGTAAAATTGATGTAATAGAAGCATACAGTGCGAGTATAAGTATCCTAATATTTTAATAGTCTGATACTCTAATATTCTAATATATGAGTATCAAGTATGAATATTCTAATTATCTTGGAAGTAATAATAACACTACAATTTCGAAAAGTCTGAAAAGTTTCGTGTGAAATTAACATGAGTATTTTTATTGCAGATAATGAGTACCGCAATGTCATACTTCACGCTATTGAAAGGGCGAACCGTGGATACAACGTGAATTCCTTCCAAACGTGTTACGGAAAGCATACACCGATGCCTTGTTTTCTGGATAAAATAGTATCAATTATTTGTACCTGTTACATGAATAAAATAATACACAAAGAAATGTTCATTCGTGGTAAATTTCGTTTAAACTACGTTTCAAGTAGAAACGAATTATTACACTTATTATTACCTAGCATTCTAGACTTATTATTAGCAGTTCACGTGTCCTATTTGCAGGGCGACACACCTCCTAATTACAATGGAGGCTCGCAGAGGGTCTCGTATTCCCAGATGACACGTCAATTCCATACATTGTATTTCAAGCGAAATACATCAATTTTGTTGACATGTACATCATGCACATATTAGAATAAATACAAACTGCGCGATCCGTGACCGGAAGGATGTATCGGTGTACCTAATCCATTTGGTGTTATATCGATCTCCCACGCGCGAAAATCGATACGAAGCGTCTAATGAATATTTTCTATTTGAAACGAACATTCGATCAATAAAAATTCGGATACCAGATCTAATTGGACTCAATTTTTCAATTATCCACATTCGTCTAATTTTTATAAATATATTCCTCATCAGACATTAGAACGAAATCAGCAATCAATAACGATACGATTTTCAAATGACCACGAGTATGAAAAATTCATTCTGCATTTACACGGTAACAGGTTCATCGTATAAATTATCCACAGTAAATAATGTACCTGCAGTAATTCTTTTTTTTTTCACTCCAAAGCAAACGAACAGATCCTTTTCCTAAGGATGTATCCGCTAGATAGGCACTCCTCGATGAAACGATAAGCTTTTTTCTGCTGCAACAGGAACGATATGCAACTCGTCGCTTCCATGCATCACCCTAACGGTTGCAACCAACAATTGCGATGGCGTGCACGACGGAATAATTTTCCTTGCGATAACAGTGCACAATCTACGAATAAATATATAAAGTGGGCGATGAATGGAGGAAGCCGCCAAGATCAAAGACCAGATGGAATCGATTTCTTTCGATACACTTCAATATCCGATTAGAAAACTCTACATGGAAGTTCGGAAGCGGAACATCTACTTAATGTGAGTTCAACGTGAGCGTGGCAGCTCAGTAAAAATGTTCAATAGGAGTGTCAACTTTCTCTATGTAGTGTATGAAATATTTACGTACCAGTGACAACTTTGAAACACTGAATTGTGTCGTGAAATTTCATTTCAGTTTGCTAGGTATCATTTTCGGATTGATTCGGGATGAAATGTTTCCTACTCTTAGTAAAGCTTCGGCGCGAGTGTATGGAAGTAATACAGGATTTGACAATTTTTTTATCTACTTGTTTTCGCTATGGCTTCCTCGATGTTTATTATTTTTTAGAAGTTATTTACTTATTTTGAAACCGAGGCTTTGACTCTCAAAGATTCATAGACTGATGGTGCGTGGCAAGGCAATTTTGAACACTCGAGAGTCACTTTCAATACGTAGCATACACAGGATAAATCATTTCCGTTTAATAAACTACATTCACGAGTTGCTCCCGAGCGAGGACAAATTGCGGACCAATTCAGAAGCCTATATTTCTCATTTGCAATGCTAAGCACCTGTTAGTGGAAATCGAGGTTCACAGAGGGTTGCCATTCCCAGAGTCACACGCGACATACCAATTCGCATACATTGACATACACGGCGATGAGAATAAATACAAACTCTATAACCGGTGATTGAAAAGATAGTGTCCCAAAACCATGGGGGGTTGAATCCGTCATCCTGGCCAGAGTTTGAGAATCGATTCGAGACTTTTAACGATTATGGGACGTCTGAACGAATTTTCCATCGCCTTCACGTTCTTTTTTCTAAAGTTGTCCGGTCTTTGGGTGGCAGAAAATAGCTTCGAGGAGCGATGTAGACGTGTCACTATAGCTTACTCTATCTTTGTGATATTTTGTCACTGTTGTGTTATAACCACGGACACCTATTACTGCAGAGAAGACTTTGGCGTGAGTATACAAAAGATTTAATACAAAAAATTTTTAGCTTTTTTACTGCATTTCTTTCATTTTTAGGTCACCTTGTACAACCTATCCAACGTATTGAGCACGTACATGTCCGTGTTCAAGTTACTGTGCCTGCTGACGCAAAGAAAGGATTTCCATAGATTGATTCGATACATGAGACGAGAATTTTTGAATGGGGAATATGATCCACACGAGAGATCGATCCTGGCCGCGTGCAAGGGCACTTCCACGTTCTACATTTGTACCTTTAGTTCTCTTTCGAACTCAACGCTGATGAGTTACGTCATCAGTCCAATTATAGGTGAGTCGGTACAGAAATGTTTGTACTTAACTTTCAGAAGTGTAATTAATTTAGTGTAAACTTATATCAAAATCATAATTAAATAATTATAAATAGCACGTGAAAGTGAAACAAAATTCTATGTCTATATTCTGCAGTCTATATTATCCAGGGTTTTGTAGTTTCTATTTTTCCAAGAACTTAAATGTTATTTGACACATGCAATGAGTTACTATCTAAAGTCAAACAACTTGCATTCTCATAGTAAATATTGGAAGAAACGAATCAGACAGGATACACCCATTTAACGTGAGACTTGATCTGCCGCTGGCCATGACACCATACTTTGAGATCATTTTTATCCTACAGGTATTGAAATTACTTGTGCATTTTAGAAGGCTTTCAAGCAGCCGAACTCCTTTCAGAAATTTCATAATGTCAGCTAATAGATTCGTCAGACTTGGTGCAAATTATTTTCTTTATTCAGTGATGTTAATTTCAAAATGTTATCCCATATTTGTATACTCCATAGGGTACAATTGCTCTAAATATAGCTGAAATCTGGACATTGTTTTGGCACAGGCTTTTGCTTTATACCAGACTGGTATATGCTACTTTACATTTGATAACACCCTGTGCATGTTCAATCTCCACGCGGCTGGCCAGTTTCGTATACTACAATATAGACTAGAAACTATGAGAGGTGCGAAGATTACGGAGGAACGTACTGGTGATTTGAATGCCTGTCCATCGCGACATGTAGATATATATTACGAGGCGTTTAAAACCCACGTACGACAGCATCAGGAACTCATCGCATTCTGCAACAGACTCGAAAACGTGTTCAGTTTCTATTCACTGGGCCAGGTGTTATTGTTCAGCTTGCTAATTTGTCTGGATGGATACATGATTCTAGTGGTGAGCATAAGTCATCCCAAGTCGAGATACGGACTTGATTCTGGACCTTGTTGTTATTTTTCGACGAGCTATCGAACGATTTAACCATTTTTCTTGAATTTATCAATTGTTCTACCGTTAACACACTATTGACCGTCAATTTTACACAGAAAACGCCTTCACCGGCTATTATTTCGTAATTGAATGTGAAATTAAAACAATCTAAGTAAACTCCGATAAACTTTATTTACATTTTACCAACATTCTGAATTGAAATGAAATACTTTACATACATAACACGATGGGCAAAGCTTTTGCAATATTCTATATCGCCCTGGGTTTCATAAATCGAAGTAGATAATGCGAGTGCAAACACAAGTTTACTCGCGACCAGTCAACAATGTGTTAACATTAATTTTTGTCGCTTTATGTTTTACAGGCAGAGGTGCCCGCCACGAGACGCTTCATTTTTGTGTTTCACTTAATCGCCTGCATAGCCCAACTGTTCATGTTCACTTACAGTTGCGACTGTTTGATACAAGACAGCACGAGCGTCGCCAGGGCAATGTACGCTGCTCCCTGGACCGATCTACCAATGAATAAGGATGGGAGCAGGTTGAGGAAGGAGATGATGCTTGTGATGATCAGGTCTAGGCAGCCTTCCTGCCTGACAGGCTACGGATTCTTCGCTATATCCTTGGAAACTTACACTAGGGTGAGCAATCGAAGCTGTTCAATGTGCATTAACGAGTTCGAGGATTAATTGCTCAATTGTCACGTCTTTATGTTTTAAGAGGGTACATGTAACTGCCACAGCCAAATGCAAGAACCTTTTTTCAAGATTCAAACACGGATATAATCCAAAACAAAGCTTGATTTTACGTTACGAGTATTGAACTTGAAATACAATTTTTTTTGTTACGATAACTTGAGAACTTATTCAATTCCTGTAGATATCCTGTATCATGGCCATTTCTAAATATATACTTGTGCTGTAAAATTGCGCTTTGCTTTGAGTTCAAATGTGTATTTAAATCTTGAAGAAAAATTCTTGAATTTCGGCTAGGACAACTAGTTGTACCCCTTAAAATAATCGTCACAATCAACTTCTCGTGCTTCTTTCAGGTCCTGAGCACAGCATTTTCGTACTTCACACTATTGAGACAAGGCTCCACGACTATGAAATAAAATTAATTTCTATAAAAAGCTTGGAATACATAAGTCAATATAGCCTTTGGTAGTTTCAGTGTAAATGTATGACCACTAGCTAACTACGAAAAGTGACACGTGCGCGCGAGCAAAGGCTCTTCAATCTATCACTTCAAGGTTCCACGGTTCTTCCAGCAGTTCACCATTTACTATTTCTACGATGTGACACAATTTACATAGCTATCAGGGGTTGCATTTCCTATTCTTTTTCAGAACTATACTTCCCTTCCGCGGAGCAAAATCAGACTATGGTTCCCACCCAACAGACAATTTCATAAGCTCCCCGAACGATGCATAATTCATCGCCTCTATTGACTATTACCGCGTCGACCAGTAAAAATAACGTCTACTTATTGTTTGTGCCACGATACTCTTTTACTTTACAACAATGCATCGCGAATAACACCCTCAAAAAGTATAGTGCGCGAACGCTGAACAGAGGATGCCGTTTGATCAAAGAACAGATCGAATTGATGACTATCGATACGTATCAATGCTCCATGCGGGGTCTTCGTACGCGAATTCCGAATCGAAGGTCTGGCCACGAGAAATTCGACATGAGCCTGCCGTACAGTAAGGACTTCTCCATCGCTATATCGTCTTTCTTCATGAAATGCGTGGGTATTTGGTCGGCAAACAATTCCGCTCAGCAACGTTCGAGGAACGTCATGTTGATTTATACAGTTTTCACGATTCTTTTTGCCGTGTGGATTCAGACCAGGGATTTGTACTACTCCTGGGGAGACTTTGGCGTGAGTACACGACGTTTATGGTTTCTCTGATAAAGAGACGCAGTGCCGTTATTGGACATAGTAAGTTACGAATTTTGGGTGATCTTTCCATTATTAAAAATTCCAGGCAACAGTATAGCATGTGATAGTGGATTTCGAACGGCTGAATTTAATTAAATTTTGTTATTCTCATGGATATCTATTTTCGTTTCAGACCTGCACGTACATCGGGTGTAACATTTTGTGCTTGAACATGGCCTTATTCAAGATACTTATTCTGTTCTTGAACAAAGTTACCTTTCTTGATCTAGTCGATTACATGCAAACGAATTTCTGGCAGGCGAACTACGCCCCCAACGAGCAAATTATTTTTGCCAGCTGGACACGAGTTTGTACTTACTTCATTTGTTTCTTCACTTTCTTCACCGAGGCTTCGATTATCTGTTACGTGATTAGACCAGTTGTGGGTAAGACGAGTAATGAAATTAAATATTATTAGATTGGTGATTCTAAGTAGAAAATATCAGGGTCAAAGTGGATACTTCTAATTGAAAATTCTTCATGTAAGAACGATACCCTCCTTGACACAATCGCGACCGGCAGATATTTTACATTACAGAAAATAAAATTCTGAAACTGGACATCGCAAATTTGTATAGTTAGAGGGAAGATAAAACCGACAAAATATGTTTTGAAATATCAATGTTGCAAATATGTAGCTTATAAAATGAAAAGATTTTCATAATTTGTTTCAACGCTCGCGAATGCGTAAATTAAATGAAAATAGACAATTCGATTGTTTTCTTTAGCAAATATTGGAAGAAACGAATCGGACAGAATACTTCCATTCAATATGTGGCTCGACTTGCCATTGTCCATTACACCGTATTTTGAGATAACGTTTATCCTACAGGTATCGTGAATATTTTAAAATATAGGCACTTTTGCTAACACTCTTCTATAACATTATTTCGTTAAAAATACATAATTTGAAATGAAGTAAAAGAGAAAATACAGTAAGTTATTAAAAGAAATTTATATTTACGTAGGTTCTGTCGTTGTATCACGTTGGTGTATGCTACATATGCTGCGACAACTTCTTGTGCATAATGAATCTTCACGTGGCCGGCCAGTTTCGGATACTCCAATACAGGTTGAAGAGCATGCAAATGTTGCGATCTGAAAACGAAAAACATGAAAATTCGAAAGCATATCCTAGCAAGCAATATCGCGCCATATTTAGGAGCTGCATTCAGCAGCATCAAGCACTCATCGAATACTGTGACAAACTCGAGGAAGTATTCAGGATAATTGTGTTGGCGCAGGTGTTAATCTTCAGTGTATTAATTTGTTTTGTAGGGTATCAGGTAGTACTGGTTAGTATTCCTTGTAGTTCACAAAATACTATAAATAAAATATTCGCAAAATTTCATTTGATTAATATTCTATATAGATATACTCATTAATTCTTTTTCTTTATTGTATAAATCTTAAACACTGTTCGATTATTACTATCGTGCATCACGCAGGCGGATTTATCCTCAACGACTAGAAGGGTCACGTTCGTGAACCTTTTAACGTCGACCATGTGCCAGCTGTTCATGTTCACGTATAGTTGCGATTGCTTGATACGAGAGAGTACGAATGTCGCTACCGCGATATACGCGACACCATGGCTGGATTTATCAATGGACAAATATGGGAGACTGATTCGAAAAGACATGCAACTTGTGGTCATGAGGACGTATCGGCCTTGTTGCTTAACTGCTAATGGATTCTTCCCCGTGTCACTGCAAACTTACACCAATGTAATTAACAATCACCACGATCTTTCGGTAACACGTAACGTATTAACGAACAATTTTTATTATGGACAACTTTTCGTTATATATACGACTAACTGTTTGCAATTAAAGGGCAGGGGAACAAACTAATTTATAAATCAAATTAATTCCCTATTGCGACAGTTGTATAAATCGATTTTTAATAATTGTGTGATTTTAGGAAGAAATTTGAAAGTACAAGGGTCAAATTGACCAACTTGGTAGCTACAGTGTTAAAATCGGTGACACATGTAACTCTTTCTTCTTTTTTTATGTTACAGATCCTGAGTACCGCAATGTCCTATTTCACGTTGCTGAAACGGAACACTGTTCAATAGCGCATCGTATGGTGTTTCGAAAAAAGAGTGCATTGTACATATTGAATACAAAATACATTTTGATGTTTGAATATACGCTTACCTAATAAATATACTCCTGAACGTAAGTCTGTGGCGATAGGTAGTTTAGCTATCACTGCACGTATTCGTGCTTGCAGTCTTAACATAATAATAAATCTTTTTTCCTCGAGGGAACATACCTCATTACCTGCCCGTAGCGTCGTGTCTACAAAGTACTTTGAGAGCGATATTGTCCAAAACCATCCATTATCCCATAGATTCTATACATTACTTCCAAGTTGAGGAGTGGGAATTTAAATTGCACGTGCATTGAGACATTTTTCTTTGAAATAAGGGTGCACGAGTTGCGCCAAGTATAAACACAAGGAATACGAGCAATGAGTAGGGGATATCGCTAGATTAAAGACCGGATTGAATTGATTTCTTGCGATAAAATTCGATTCGAGGTATCATCCTTCTAAAGGTACGAAGTGCGTCGTACTCTAGTCTGCGAGTAACTGCATTCGATGTTGCTTTGGGTTGTGTATTAATACGTTTATGGATTGAACGTTCGCTATAGTTTTTATGTGAATTGAATCAGGAGATGTTTTATGTTTTATGTGAATTGAGAGGAGATGGAATCGGTACAAATAAATAAATTTTAGAAGGTTTTCCAAATTCATAGACCAGTTCAAAGAAATATATTAATGATTCTATAGTACACTGATGCACTCAACACAAATTTGTAATAAGTGATCTGAATTGAATCGTACCATCTGCTCATGTAGACAACTCGCACATGCTGTCCACCGTTCACTATCGAAATACGACGTTTCTTTAAGGTACATTTATTTAAGGTACATTTAAGGTCTTTCGAAGCTTAACGTCCTAGTTTCTAACGTGTCACATCTGTCGGTGAGTCATAATTCTCCGTTTGGAATCATGCATAACTCATAAATCCTGCGTGCTACTCCTAGACAAGAGGGGACCAATTACATTGACAGTTACACCATAAAATCAATAGGAACAAATACAAAGAGTATGATCTGTTATGAAAAGGATATCAGTCGGCCATTGCTACATAGCTATTAATTAATTTTTCTTAATTCGTCGCAGAAATACAAACGCATTTTCTAACACGTGTTTGATGCACGAACTGTAAATAAAGTTAGTCGAAATTCAATATGTTACTGTCGCGCAGTGACGACATTTCCATCGCCGTGACATCGTTCTTCATGAAGGCCTGTGGGATTTGGATGGCGACTAATAACATTGAGCAACAATGCAGAAAAATCGCCATAGCGTACACAACTATTGTGATATTGTTTCAAGGTTGGGTACTTACGTCAGCGGTGTATTTCTCCGGGGAAGATTTCAACGTGAGTGTGTGAGAATTGGAACCTCTGCATCTATAACGAATCCTTGAGAATAATTCAAGACGATATAACATTAATCCAGTGAAGTGATTACATTGTTTATTAAATATATGGAAAATAATTATATTAAATGTTTATAATGATTACGAACTCCCGCAAGACGCTCGGAACTGAAATCACATCCGGCATTTAAATGTTCATAGGTCTTCCTAACCAATCTGAGCGCTCTTTTGAGTATGCTCTTACCTACGTTCAAGACACTCATCCTGTTTGTACATAGAAAGGATCTCTTTCAATTAGTTGTATACTTGGAACGGAAATTTTTGCAAGGGAATTACGACGCTCACGAGAAGGCAATTTTGAACGGGTGCAAACACGTCTGTGCGGTATTCATTTGCACTTTTTCTTCATTTGTTCATGCGACGGAAATCTGTTACAACGCGGGTCCAATTGTTGGTAAGTCCATTAATTGATGCCTGAAAAATTAAGAATGACTGGTTTGTTCAAGTTATAAAAATACCTGCATGTCCTTTTTCTAAATGGGGAGAGAGGGGGTAGATTTTAGTCTTCATCTGTAACAAGGAAGAAATATAAGATTAGCGAAAGACTTTGAAATATTATTTCTATTTCATAGATTATTAAACTACGATGTTTTTAATTGTATCCACGGCTCGTCGTATGAAATGATAAACTGTCTTCTCATTGCAGCTAACATTGGAAGGAACGGTACAGACAGAGTACTTCCATTTGAGATGTATTTAGATATCGCATACTGCACACCGTACTTTGAGATCACGTTCGTCCTAGAAGTATTGTCATCCTTTTGATGTGTTTCATACTTTCTTTTTTAACAAAATTTTGATTCTTCGTCACTCTAAGTCTCTAAGGATATTTTTACAGTGCTGTAACCCCTTAGATTAATCAATTACATAAGGTCATAGTATTATACATAAAAATTTAACTAAGCCTTGGTGTTGTCGTCTTAAACGTTGCATCCTATCCAGCCTGAATTCTCTACTTTCATTTTCCACAGAGTTTATTTGCATACCACGTCGCCCTCTGTTACATGTGCTTCGATAACATGTTATGCATCATGAATCTTCACGTAGCTAGTCAGTTTCGTATTCTCCAATACAGACTAGAAAACATGCGAGAGGAAAATAAGGAAGAATCTATTGAAAATTCGAAAAAATCCTCGTCGCGTACGGCAGATGAGAACTACGCCATTTTTAAAAGCTGCGTTCGACAGCATCAGACACTTATTGCATACTGTGACAAACTCGACGATGTGTTCAGTCTTTTTTCACTTGGACAAGTGTTAATTTTCAGTACGTTGATTTGCATTGACGGATATCAAGTTGTTATGGTTAGTATCAGGTACTTGTACTATGTGTATGATAAATGTATAATGGTTGTGGCTCGTCAAACATGCTGCCATTCGTCATTTTAATCGAACAAATTTTCTTTACTATTTCATTCTCATTTACTCGAATATCCACAGCCAGGAACGCCATTTGCGTATCGCTTTCTCTTCGGATTTCACATGATAAGCTGCACGTCACAACTCTTCATGTTTACGTACAGCTGTGACTGTTTACTGAAAGAAAGCATGAACATTGCGCCAGCAATGTACGCTGCTCCGTGGACTCATCTACCGATGAACAAAGACGGAAGAATACTGCGAAAAGACCTGATACTTGTCATTATGAGGTCCAGGATACCATGTTGCGTGACAGCCCATGGGTTCTTCCCTGTATCTATGGAAACGTTCACCAAGGTAATGAATGTCACGTGTATAGTGTTCGCGTAGTTTATTTATTTTATTTCCTGCAGATAATGAGTACAGCAATGTCATACTTCACCTTAATACAGGGACAAACCGCGGATACTACCAGTGTCTCCGAACTGTGATATACAGTACACACATCAATGCGTTTTTAGTTTCTAGTTACATTAGGTAAAGTGGTTAATAATCTACACTAGTTACGTACGAATAAAATAGTCCAGAAATATAAAGATTGCTTTCTAACTTTCACTGAAGCAGAAACACACTTGATAGCAGAGTTCAGGAACCGCTCGAAAAATGATAATAATTAATATCAGATCGTAGATTATGAGATTAATTAGCTTGATTAGCAGTGCCCCGCGGTTTCACCCTTCCTACTCTATACTAATAATGTACCCGATGTTTTGGACTAAAAAATATCCTAACTTAATTTGTCTTTATAATAAAGGAACAGGAAATCAATTACAAATGAAATTGAAAGAAATTAGAACCCCTTTTTGCCCCGTTAGGGGTTGAATTTCTTAAAATGCCAAAATAGGTGTTTTATTAATTAAATCAAAGAGCATTAAGTTTCAAGTAAATCCGACCACAAACAAAATATTCCTCATACAAATGTTGCAACCCCTATTTACCTCCTCAGGGGTTGAATTATTGAAATATCCTTCCTTATTCCTTGTATACGTCATAAAGGAAGCCTCTGTGCTAAATTTTTATTAGCACTGACTTAATCAAACGTTATCGCAAAAGCCTGCAGCGATGGTTCTTGAACCTGTCACTTCACATTCCTCCATCAGTAGTTATAAACTATCACGACAGAGTAACGAATCTTTACTTCACACGTCTTTTGGACGCAAGAAGCGAGAAGCAACTAGTCTGTATTCGTTCTTCCGGTTTCCGGTAGCAATGCTCCCTAAACCATGCATAAATCATTGACTCTATACATCGCTACCGCGTGGAAAAGTAACGTGGAAAAGTAGTAAAATTGATGTTGCATGTCCATCAGGACGTTTTCTTTTTTTCCAAATGAGAATGCACGAGTAGCGCAAATAGTAAATACAAGGACCACGAACGATGAGTAGAGGATGCGACTAGATCAAAGACCATGCCGAATTGATATCAAGCAATGCAACTTGCAATGCAACGTTTGTGATCGATTCGGAAAGTTTGTGAGAAAATTCCAAATCGGAACCTGTACTTGTTCCAAATTCACTATGAATTCGATGTGCGGTGAAGGCATTCTAATCAAGACGTACCATCGTTGGCGAAGTGCATCAGACTCTAGTGTACAAGTGATAGCGTCTAGCTTATTCGTACAATGTGTGCTGGTGGTGTTGCGTGGATTCGTGCAGGATTTATCTTTTGATCCTGGTAAGACCTGAATGTTAAAAAAAATTCCTTGTTGGAAGAGACTAAGAGGTGCCAGATTCTTGGACAAGCACTTGTATGATGTGAGTAGATTCTAAATATATGGTTGAGAGTTACAGTAAGTCTGCGATTGCTTACACAAATTCATATTTTCACAAATACAGAAAAAAAAAATTGAAACTTGAATGAAAGTGATATAACGTGTGTATTTCTGATATATATTGCGCTACATTAGATATGCAGCATTCACGCGTCGATTCAAGTTACAACAGATTACAAAACGTCCAAGAGACACGAATTCTATATTCGGTAGCCTAAAGCTCCAACTTCCAACGTCTGGCAATCGAGGTTCGACTCCGCCCAGAACCTTGCATAATTTACAAGTTCTAGACGGTGTTTTCAGAACGAGGAGGTACAATTACATTGGCCACTGTATCATAAAAGCGATAAGAATGAATACGAATCGCAGGATCTGTCGACGAAAGAGTGTCAGTGGATCAATGCCACACGGTGTCCGACCGATCGTAGTTTCGACACGTGGAGAAAATCGATAGGCAATTTCTGGAGTGATTCGTATCGGAACGGCGAATAAAATTATTCGAAATTTAATATGATCCTGTGTCGCAGTGACGACATTTCTATCGCCGTGACATCTTTCTTCATGAAAGCCTGTGGGATTTGGATGGCGACTAATTACGGCGAGCAACGATGCAGAAATATTGCTGTAGCTTATACTCTGACTGGGATGGTGTTTCATGGTTGTGTGCTAACGTCAGATTTGTATTTCGTGAGAGAAGATTTCGAAGTAAGTACCCTCGGATTAATGCCCTTAAACGGATAAGGAATCATAGGTGATCGTACACCTTGATTTCAATGGAAAATAAAATCATGTCTTTAGAATAATTTCGTACACTTCTAAAAATTTTCCAAGCCTGCCACGAATATTATTTTCTGAACCTAATCATTCCTGAACTAAACTAATGCACAGTCAATCCTATGAATATTTGTATCCTCCATGTTTATTGAAGAAGTTTGACTAAATTAAATAATAGTTTTGTTTATAGGACTGACTGTATATGTCACATTTTAATGTTCACAGGCCTTTTTATTAACCTTGTGCAACTATTTAAGTCTGCTCTTGCCCTTCTTCAAGATAATTATCTTGTTCACGCATAGAAAGGACATCTTTCATTTAGTCGTGTACCTGCAACGAAATTTTTTGCAAGGATGTTACAACGTCCACGAGAAGAAAATTATGGACGCATGCAAACGCGCCTGTGCGTTCTTTATTTGCACCTTCACTTGTTGTGCGAATGCGACGGTGTTTAGCTACATCATCACTCCCGTCTTTGGTGAGTTGATTAATTGTTACCTGTAAAATGGATAGTGATTGAAGTGCGTAGTATATTATGGATAGCTATTGCAGATATTGATTCCTTAGTCAAAACGCACGTTTTCACTGTTATCTAAAACATGTAACAATCTTTGATTAGTAATCACAAAGTGTTACATTTAAAATCATACGTGACTATGGTACATTTATGAGATGCTCTCGATATTCCATTTAAATTATAATGTTTTCAACCGTGGAAAACATGCTACCAATATTAAATGTAGTGTTAGAAGACTGCTTAGACGGCGTTAGCCATGGCTTCTTTACCCTTTTGGAGATAAACATTTCTTATAAGTTATTTGTATTTTAATTCTAGTTAACATCGGAAAAAACGAAACAGACAGAATGCTTCCATTTCACGTATCAATAGATATAGTCTCCATCACGCCGTATTTTGAGATAGCATTCGTACTACAGGTATGCTAAAAGCAACCTGGATACGCAATTATCCATGCAATTATTATTCCAAACGTTCTATCCTATCGAATTTATGACTAAACTATAATTAAAATAAATGAATTCTATACTTTATTTTCGCCCAGTCTCTGGCCCTGTACCAAGTCGGAGTGTGCTACTTTTGCTTCGACAACTTGTTGTGCATCATGAACCTACACGTCGCTAATCAATTTCGTATACTACAGTACAGATTAGAAAATATGCAGAGCATATTTAAGGAAAAACACGACGAAAATTCGAAATTCTCACCGGATACTGCACACGAATATTACGAAATTTTTAAAAGTTGCGTTCAATATCATCAGGCACTCATTGCATACTGTGCCAAGCTTGAGGAAGTATTCAGTCTTTTTTCGTTGGGGCAAGTGCTGGTTTTCAGTTCGTTGATCTGCCTTGACGGATATCAGATACTCATGGTGAGTATCATGTACTTATGCGAATGTTAATATCAGATACAGGGTGTCCCAGAATTAGTATAAGAAATGGAGAGTGACTGAGACGATTCTGATCCACAATTTCCTTTGCAAAAATGTCGTCAGACATTGATTCGTTTTTGAATTATCAACGAAAAACCACCGACCAATCACAGCGTCCGAGTAGCGCGCGCTCAGCCGCGAAAACATAGGCTCGAGCCAGGATTGGCTGACTACGGCAGTAGCCAGCTGAACGCGCGCTACTCGGGCGCTGTGATTGGTCGGTGGTTTTTCGTTGATAATTCAAAAACGAATCACCACCCGACTTTTTTACAAAGGAAATTGTGGATCAGAATCGTCTCAGCTACCCCCTCCCTCCATTTCCGGTTCTTACATTAATTCTGGGACACCATGTATGAATGATTTCTTGAAAACTCCGTTCTGTTACTACATACGCACTGAACTTTCATCTGCCATGCATTATGTCTTATAGTCGGATGTACCTCCCATAGCACGTATGACTTTCGTGTTTCACATAATGGGCTGTACCGCACAGCTGTTCATGTTTACGTACAGCTGTGATTGCTTAATACAATATAGTACGAGCGTTGTGTCAGGTATGTACGCAGCTCCGTGGCCTCGTTTGCCTATGAATGAAGACGGAAGGATGCTGCGAAAGGACCTGATACTAGTGATGCTGCGGTCCAAAGTACCTTGCTGCCTGACGGCTCGTAAATTCTTCGCTGTGTCTCTCGAAACCTACACTGGGGTAAACAATGACATACATCTGCTATTTCATACATTTTTATTAGTTTGAGTGCCTTATGTTTACAATAACAATGAGCAAGCTGGAGTGTGAAAGATCTTAGTAAATAGTTCACTGGTGACGATACGATGCAATTGCAATTGATTATTGGTGTATTAAGTATGAAAATACCAATACGAATAATATTCTTCTATTTTCCTTCGATAATTCCATAAATGTGGCCAGTGTTGTGTTTACTTAAAATAGTACCAGTAAAGTCATACACTTATTTCGAGAATGTTACGTATATTTTGTTTAATTACTGCGTTGCTTAAATTGTCTATTTTATTTCTCGCAGATAATGAGTACCGCAGTGTCATACTTTACACTACTGAAGCAACGAACATCAGCAACGACCTGAGCGTGTCTGAAACGTGTTGTTCAATGCGTGCATTCCTTGGTTTTAGATTAAAATAATGTCAATTACTTATACTTGTTACAATAGATGAGTAAAACGATATGCAAAGAAAAACATGTTCGGTGTTAAAAAATGTATTTGCTTTTCGGTAGGTGATATATTAGCTAGAGTAGCAAGCTTCCAAATAAAAATTGTTACTGTTAAAATGCGATTTTTTAATTCCGTGTACATAATAAGTACAAAAACACCAAATGGTGAATAGAAGGAGAGTAAATAAAAAACTGTACTGAATTGATTGCACGCACTTTCAATTCCTTACTTCACATAGTATTGTTTAATTCGTTCTTGTTTTATTCTTTGTAGCTGTAAAAAATGGATTCTTACTTTTTCGTCTGGGAAACAATCCTTTATATATACAGTATTCCCTCCATAACTGACCGCGATTAAGTTCCACTATTGTTCACTTACGGAGAACCTGTCAAATCTGCTACCATGGGAATAAAAGAAACTCTTGAATAGTAACTTCTTCTGTTGCGATGAAGTATCCAACTGTCGTTATCGAAACTCACAGAAGGCCACTGTTCTCTGTATCATGCATATCTTATCGATACTTAGCATTACTTCCACGCTGAAGAGCAGCATCGAAGCAGCCACATTGTAATACTTTTCCCTTGTAATCACGAAGCACGATCAATAGTCGTGAAAAATATAAGCTGCGCGAGTGATGATGAATAGTGGATGATCTTAGATCAAAGACCAGATTTTATTGATTATTTTCAAACATTTTCAATGGGGTGCGGAGCTTCCACATGCTAATTCAGAATCGAGTAGACCAGATGCTCGAAACTCGACACGAGCTTGGCGTACAGCAAAGATTTTGCCATCACTTTATCGTTCTTCTTCATGAAATGCGTCGGTATATGGTCGGCGAACAATCGCTTTGAGCAACGTTTGAGAACCTTCGCGTTATTTTATACTGTGTTCGCGATACTTTTCGCTGTGTGGATTCAGATAAGGGATTTGTATTTCTCTTCGGGTGATTTTGGCGTAAGTGCGTAATAATTTTAGTTTCGCTGGTAAAGGGAGACCCAAGACGGAACGTTCGAGAGTAGCAATTTCGGTAGCATTCACAGAAGAATACTTCTGTTCTGAGCAACAGCGAATAAGTAGCTCAAAAAACAAGTATAAAGTCTACGAACGATGTTGCAAGATCAAAGGCCAGATGATATCGATTTCTTCGAGTACACTTCTACAATTCATGCGTATGATCTGTGTAGAAATTTCAAATGTGAACTTCTGTTCCGGTTCGGTGCACGGTAGAAGTGTCTCCATCGTGGTACTTTACGCGTACAAAACTACAGCGTGCAAGTGATCGCGTCGAGAAACTTTCAAACACCGAATTCATTTTTACTACATTCGATGATACGTTTGAGTTGATTCAAACACGAAATATTTGTTTCGCCCGGCGATACCTCAACGTGCGAAGATTGTCCTGTTCCCAGCCGAAAGAAATAGCTACATTAATAAAGGCTTTTGACTGCGATTGGTCCTTTGAGTTTTTAATCTTACTCGTATCCTCGAGAATAATAGATTGACGTATTGTTCGAAGACCAATTACTGTACATAAATTTTCAATGCAACACATCTGTTAGTCGGGAGTGAAGTTCACAAGGGGTTTCGTGGTGCCATTATCAGAATCATCCATAATAGATGAATTCTATGTATTGCCCCTCGAACGAAGGATATCTATTGCATTAGTATACGAAGCAATAAGAACAAATGTGAACGAAAGGATGACAGTACACCTAAGTCGTATGAGTTTCATTTGATTATTTTTGACCAGTTACGAGTAACAAGACATCTCGTTCGTTGTGACTCCAAAATGATCTGGGGGTACAGTGACGATATTTCTACAATTGTAGCGTCTACTTTCATGAAGATCTCAGGTCTCTGGATGGCAGGTAATCGCGTGGAGCGGTTATACAGATGTATCACGTTGATTTACAGTGTCAGCGGGTTACTTTTCGTTGCTGGCGTTGTGGCGATAGAGTTCTACTACACCATGGATGATTTGAGCGTGAGTATGCGAAACATTAATTTAGTCCATGGATGTTCGTCACGGGTTGTGTCTGGGATATTACAAAAAAAATGTCGAGAACGTAATAATAAACGAATCGCCTGAATCCATTTTTATGTTTGTAGGACTGCCTATATAACGCGACCAACATTTTAACCGTGATTATGTCTTTATTCAAGTTACTTGTCCTGCTTGCGCACAGAAAAGATTTTCTGAATTTAGTTCGGTACTTGGAGAGGAAATTTTTACACTCGGAATACGACATCTACGAGGGAATGGTCTTGGACACGTGCAAACGCACCTGTGCGTTCTTCATTTGTACCTTTACTTGTTCTTGTCACGGGACACTGATAAGTTACGTTCTGAATCCTATCGTAGGTGAGACCTGTATACATCTCTACAGTAGAACCTCGATTATTGCGAGAAAATAGTCTGGAGAATCCTGCAATAATCGAGGTAACCGATCCAACGAATAGGAAGTAAATAAATTGCATTCTTATTTTAGTCAATATTGGAAAGAACACATCAGACAGGGTATTTCCATTGAATATGAGAGCTGATCCACTGTCGGTGACACCGTACTTCGAGATAGTATTTCTGTTACAGGTACAGGAATTCTTTACGTATTTTTCAAGAGTTTCTTGATAGAAGCTAAATTCTACCTAACGATATCCTAGTAAAATGATCTGTTCTATGTATTCGAGTAGGGCATGGATCGTGCCTAATTTACGTGGCTCAATAATTGTAAATATAATCGAATCCTGATCTTTCTATCGCCCCAGGTTTTGTCCGTGTACCAAGTCGGAGTTCTGTACTTTAGTTTTGATAATTACCTATGCATCATGAATCTGCACGTGGCTGGTCAGTTCCGTATACTGCAATACAGACTGGAAAATATGAAGGGTGCGATTAAGGCGTCGAAACATAGTGGAAATTGCAAAGATAAATATTACGACGCCTTTAAAACCTGCGTTCAACAACATCAGGCGTTGATCGCGTACTGCGACAAGTTGGAAGAAGTATTTAGTTTCTATTCGTTGGGGCAAGTGTTCCTGTTTAGCTTGTTAATCTGCCTCGATGGGTACATGGTACTTGTGGTTAGTACATATATATATGTGACACTTGATGTATACCATGTAAAACTAAAAGTAGATTCATTATATTCCTGATTCTCAGGCTGCATTCCATTATGTTACATACTCAAACTACGTGGAATATTTTTTATATGTTAACAGTGATTCGCTATGTAACACCGTTTCTTAGCAATGTTGAAGACTGATTGGTTGTTATTGACGCTCATTATATTTAGTCGATGACACTGTATGTTAATAGTCGATGCATAATAAATTTTCCACCGTAAATATGTGGAATATCATTTCTGGTTTTCAAGATGCAAAATACCATTCTGAATATTCTCTAACGAATCCTCCTATTATTATACACATTACATTCACTTACAATGCGTTGTATCCTATAGGCAGACGCACACCCCACAAGACGCCTTATTTTTGTGTTCCACATGTTCGCCAGCATAGCCCAGCTGTTCATGTTTACATACAGTTGCGATTGCATAATGCAAGACAGTACTAATGTTGCCATGGCCATATATTCAGCTCCATGGCCTCGTTTTCTAATGAACGAAGACGGGCGAACTCTGAGAAGAGATCTGAAACTTATGATGCTTAGATCTAAAGTGCCTTGCTGCCTAACCGGTTACGGATTTTTCACTGTATCCCTGGAAACATACACTAGGGTAATCAGCAATAGCTGTTTTTTTACTTGAAACGGCAGATAACATTGCAGCAATGGTTTAAAAACTAGCATTGAATATCTAAGAAATTGAGATGTGATCAGAGCATAGCGTAGTTGTCACGTTCTTCTATCAAAAATTGGTTTTATTTAACGAATACAGTTTGTTTTTGCAGGTTCTAAGTACAGCGCTTTCATACTTCACGCTATTAAGAGGAACTTCTACAGAAACACCATGAAATTGCTAAAATTATGTTGGCTAATACGTAAAACATGACGTTCTAATCTGGATATTATATGCTTTGAATTTCTAATATATCTGTACGAAAACAGTGGAGAGGGAAACAGTGTTGCAGTTCCAAAATAGTTATATTCATTCCTTAGTAGGCGTAGAAGATAATTTTTATATGTGAGTATACCAGGTATTATTAATTGAATGTTATTCTACTATTACTATTAATGTGTTTGTAAATTGCTATCCGAATAATTCCTTCTAGATACTGGACAATCAAGGAAGTATTTAAGTTTCTTTTTTATTAATAGATTCTTGACAAGACCTAAGTCTCCGTGAAATTTATTTTAACAAAAATTCAAATTTTACGGCGTATCACAATTGCCGGACTTCCCTTGTTAGTCGTCAAACACACGCATGTATAATGTGCATTACATATGAATAATTCGTAAACATTCTACAATGTATTTCCCAATTAAGAATATATCATGCTATACTTTGCAAACGTAAAGTGATTAATTTAATTGCAAGGCATTGCATCATCTTTCAAATACCTGGGAAGAATAAATCAAATTTCACTATCGCGTGTAACAAGAGTAAGTAGAGTAAGAAACAGCGAATTAATCGACATATGGTAAATGTACTTTGTTATCACGTACCTGAACTGTACCATGATAACCAGTGGCATAACCAGCAGTCGATATTAGTGTATTGACTGAATAATTTTTGAATACTCTGTACGCACGAGTACAGTTGCATTCATATGTCTTTTAAATTATAGTATAAAAAGTAAAACTAGAAAAACTTTAACACCAGATTTTTTCCTATTCTATTAGGTAATGCAACATATTTCCTCTGCCATCATGTGGTATAGGATTTCCTCAGGATTCCTTCATGTACGTAAAGGATTTGGATAAATGTTATAGTTAAATTAGAAATTAAGGTGATTGTCGAAGAAGATTTGAAAAAAAAAAATGTGCTGTTAATGTGTTTCCATAGTATCCATTTCAGTTCAAGTACCTGATAAACTCTCTCCTTTATGTGGAAGAGTGCATGACATGTCTCATGTAGCTCTAGAGCCTACAGCCCCCTATCAATTTCGGTGTCATCCAATTTTGTCAATCTGAACTGGAATGCATTCACACATAAGATATTTGAACTTACTGCTTTAAGAAGTACTCCACCATTGATAAGAAATAGAGTAACAGAGCGTTCAATGGGAATTTCAGTTTTGGTAACTGAAGTACCGATCTCCTGAAAAATCAATAGGTTCAAGTACAACCCTGCGTTTAGGGGTAGTTTCACTCTGAGGATCATGTTCAATCGTACCACCGAAGTCGGTAAAGGCAGTAACCTTAGAAAACTTATACACCGCTTGTTGGTCAATGGAATCTATCGATCTCCGGAGATACTGTAACAGTAGATTCATACTTATAATTCAATGGGATAACAGATGGAGCTTGGAACATCATAAAGATGTAAGTGTGATGGAACTTGAATTCTTAGTATCTATTCGTAAATTCAGTAGAGAGTATTCATTTATTTTATAACAATTTATTCGTGACGTATCTGTTAGTTATCGTTGACAATGTGTAGTACAGAGAAATACATATGTATTAGACTTTTTAAAGTACACCGAATATCTTCCAATATTTCAAAAACACACGAACCGATTGAACACATATATAGAAGTTATTTAGTAGTAATCATTATGATAACAATATTAAAATTTCATTTTGTGTAAGTGTATACATTTTTTTTGTACATTTAACACGAGTGCAGGCTTCTCACTGGTCAACGACTTCTATCGCACATTCTCCCACTGGATACCAGATCTCTTTTGTATTTCATTTGTAGGATAAACTATCTATATAACCTTGCAACGTGTTCTGTAATTTAAAATCATGCAAATGAAATAGAATCACTTTAATAGAAACATTCTGGTCAGAGTTGGTTTGAATAGTTACACAAAAGATCTTACCTTAGTTAAACAATTTTCCGTAATTCATTTATTTTAAACAAATAAATCTCTGGGTGCTTATCGATACATTTATTCGAGTCACTCCTGTTTTAAATTCTCCAGCAATGTCTTCCATATTTGCACTCCCTCGCCGTTAGCCTTCCGATATCCAGGCGCTGAGGATTTTGTTTTCTCCAGCCACTTGGCGACGTTTGGATAGTTATCAATTTCGAAATCCAACATCTGCGATTAAAGGGCACGTTAAATCTCGACAAATTTTTTCTAGTTTCATCGGACGTCCGTTTTACCTCTGTCGTGGATATTGTGGCAACCAAAGAAAGATCCGCGATGGTCAAATTGCGTCCCGTAACGTAATCCTGGCCTTCCAAAAAAGTGTTTAGAATCTCGTACGCCGCTTGTAACATCTTGTACTTTTCCGGGTCGAAATCCGTCGTTTTCCCGAACACGACTGGATACTGCAGCAGGTTTATTCGAGAAACTTCTCAGGTGGCCAGGATCTTTTAATTATGTTACGTAACAGCGAGCAACTAATTAGCGAACTACTTTAATTTCAGCGATTAAAGACCTCTGCGTACTCTTCGTCGAAAACAGAATGATGTACAAGTTCAACTATAGAGATGCAAGGTTTAAGTTTAAAATCTAATATCAGAGTTGAATCTCTCGGAAAGTAAAGAGCGAACTTCTCGCGTTCGAATACTTGCATAATACTCCTTCACGGCTTTGTACATGGTGCCAATATCGAAGTACAATCGTTGATTGACCAACGCCCGTTCACTCGGCGTTTGTGGATATAATCTCGGGTTTTTGCCATACTGATCGACCAAGTACGCCATAATTGCTCGGCTGTAACGAGAACGCGAGAGTACCGTGATACGTAACGTTTCTTTTTTTTCTTTTTTTTTTTGTACGTTGTCAGTAATTAATTAGCGAGTAGGTAATTAGTTACATACCTCTCCGATATTTTGTAATCATCGTCTACTAAAAATGGAACCGTATGCTGCGGATTCATCTGCAACAAATTGTTTCACCTGCTGTTTGCGAGGCTTGAATTGTGAGTAAATATTAGGTGGACTGGAAAGTAATGCCGTTTTTGTAATTTTAAAAATAAAAATTTATTAAATTGTTTGAATTTAGTATAAAAGAAACGACATCACTTTCCAGTCTACCTAATGATATGTTTATTTGTACGTGAATAAATTTCAATGAAAATCATGTTTGGAGAGCAGTGACTGGTTACACCGACCTCTACAAATTCTGGTGCCAAGTGCTCTCCAGCCATCAAGTCGATCTCTTTTAAATTCAAAGGAAGACCGATTGCCTCAGCAGTTAGGAGGATTGCTCTGCAAGGCGCACTCATTGGGGTGTAATACAAATCCACTGACATGATGCGAGCGATTGATTAAAACTGCAAACATTTATGAAGTAGAAGTGACATTAGCAATTATAATATTTATGATCAGTAGATTGCGATTAGTGAATTTTGCTAAAAATTTTCGACGAAAGAAGAAATCATGTTGTTAAATATTTTCTCGATGGCATAACTAATACGTGTCTTAAAATCCACGGGGATCGTATCGGCAAATAAATAAATGCCTTCGATAGGAAATAGGGTTTGTTCTGCCCTTGGCCAGAGAATGTTCGAACAACGTAAATTATTTTTGTCGCGTCGGATATCGATCGACGCTGATCGAGGCACCGCGTACGAGAGCAAATACGCGAAACAGAGAGAAAGTATGAGTTTCATCCAACCCCGATCGAGACGTACATCCTGAATTTCGTTTTCGATCGAGTTTAATCGACAGAACAGTTTTTTTCCGTGCGTCGAAGCTAGATACACATCATCGGACTGCTATACACGTGTACCTACGAATATCCGCCATTTAACAAGCAATCGATACACGAGAATAAAACGTCCATGGTATACACATCGGGTGAAACATCAAAAGCGTTCATTCCCCGATTCCGTAAACGTGGAAAAACGCAGCGAACGAAAAATTTGCATATGTTCGACGATTGATACGCCGAGAACAGACGTTCTTCGTTGCTCGTGAACAGGATTTATGCCTAATTTAGAAGTTGCAAGAACCTCGAGGCGAGTGGCGAACCTCGTTGCACCTTCTAATCACCCTACTTAACGCGATCACGCATGCCGAGGTGTAATTGTTACCTTCGCGATGGCGTTCTTACAGCAGCTGGTATTAAAGTAGTCGCTAATAATATTCGAGGCTTGACGTTACAGGCAAGACGCAATCTCTTCGCAGACGGAAAAAAGGTAAAGTGCGCGCACTCTTCCGTTTACAGAGGTGAACTGAAGGCAACCAGGAGCCTTACAGCGTGTGCATATATTCGTTTATTTGATATACCTGTAGACTCGAACCGAGGGTTAGACGTCCCCAGTTGCTGCGTCAACAGTTTTCCCTTCCTGTTTTCGCTTCATGATGACTCGGAAAATATCACACGGCTATTGTCATTTTTATTTCCGGTTGACACGTGTATATCTATTTTTTCATTTTATTTTATGTATAGAAATATTTCTCGGTGGATTTATAATTTAGAAAGGTATATATCGTGGACAAACTATTTTCCATCCTTCTTAATTCCAAAATTATTTTCTTCTTTTGTAAAATTTGTTCAACACAACACAATGACTATATAAAGGAAATTATTTTAATTAACAGTTTTCGGTTATTCATTTTTCGGAATTGTTTCAAGAATAAGCGTTGGTGTACTTTTTAATTGTACATAATTGTAACGCCAGCGTGAAACTAGATGCGGAATCGCAACGAGCTGCAACATGTGTTTAGCAGATTGAAAGCAGTTTAGACGAGAAGCATGAGTGCAATGTTCATCGCGCCACTAACCACTCCCACGAGCATATGTTTGCAACGCAAATGTTGTTCCGTTTATATTAACTAAATCAAATTTACACGTGCATAAATATACGTAGATGTTGACTATTTACTCACCCCGCGGTTAATTTCTCCTTTAATCGATTTTCGTGTTACGAATTCTACATAAGAAAAAATCCAATTTGCGATATAACATCCATGATGAGCGGAACTTGACTTTTGAAATGATACGAAACCAACGGAGTCGATCAAATTTCATTCTCGTGTTATTACTCGCAACGGAAAAGTTAAATTTCTTGAAAATAAACTCGCGAAAATAAACTTGAGAGTTCCTATTTCTATTAACATAAAACTCGACTTAATTTATTCCAATCAAATTAATTCAATTTAATCGAATTAAATTTACGGTATTACGAGATATGAATATAAAGTTTCAGGCATATTTTGTCCTCCCGTACCCAACAATAAGGAGTCAAATAAGAACACGAAACATAAAGGTACGGGATTGGTCGCGTAGGTAAAGCGGTCGACTGTGGATATTCATATTTTATGGTTTTTCAATGAAAATAGTTGTTTACTCCCAAACCATTCACGAAACTCGCGTTATTTTTCTCCGAGTGCAAATGTATTCGTGACTAAACCAATTGTACTTGAATGTCATTTTATTGAATATTTTCGTTGTATACCAGCGACGATCCGCTGGAACTGTATAATTGATTTTAATTGGGTTTCAGACCAGTAGCTTTGACGTAAGAACCAGCCAGTGTGCTTGGATTGCTAAATTTAGAGCGAAGGTGGAAATTCAGCTGGAACGAGCCTTTTCGCCGCTTTATAGAAAAGGAAATATCGATTAAGGGCTTGTACGTGCCGGTCGTTACACGGTAATTAAAACACGTGTAACGCCGGGGTTCAAGATAATTAGCAAATGCGCATCGAATCAAAAGGGCGACTACCGCTGAGGCAAATTGGCTGCAATGCGAACAACAGGCGGACACCATAATTACAAGGTTCATTAAATCGTATTCGATGGCGATTGTACTGTTCACCGAATCACATGTGGTAACGCTAATTTCAATTCGAGTGAGATCAAAACAACTGCTGCTATATTTTTTTTAACGAGCACGTTCCTATTTTAGTGGAGTTCGGAAATTGTTAGCGTGCCATTTTTACAACACCTTATACATATACCTTATACATATTCGACAACTTCTTTAATTATCGGTTCCTCTACAGTATGAATCAGTAGTGCAGTATGAATTTTCAAACGTACTGTGAAATAAAAGTTACGATAGAAAAAATCGAAGTATGTACTTTCCTTACGAATAAATGATCAGATACCTATACTTTATATGAAATATCTATAGATATGTGATTCAATGGATCTTTTTTTACTAATCTGTATAGACAATATGAAATATCATAATTTTGGTTTTTATCGACAGCGAGAGAAATAATTGGTTTCGTTAACCGTGTAATTCCATACGGAACACTGTACGTACACTATTGTATTCGTTATTTTCAGTTCTCGATAGTTATTAATTACAATGAAACGTATAATTCTGTTCTTGCATGGAATTGTATTGCAACGCACATTTCAAGTTACAACGGTGAACGAAATTTATTTGATTTTTCCTTTGTATGCAGTGGTGGAAATTTTTCAATCGGTAATCTGTAAATAATAAATACGCTAGCTTTTATATCAAGCAGTACTTGTGAAGTACACGTGAATCACTATAGAGCACTATTGTTTTATCAACTTAAATTCCTGTACAGAGTTTTACCAAACATGTAATCTTTTCAAGATAAATTCTTCTTTGCACTTTGAATTGAATCATTGTTTCATTATGCTGTCCAAGGTTTTATCGTCAACATGCGAGTAGTTATAGTTGTTCCCGGCACGAAAGCATGCGCGGACAGAATATAAAATGGCGAGTGTCAAGAATCACGTGAATAAATTGAATCATTTATAACCATCTAACGAAGCGTTACATCACGAAACAGTAAAATACGTTTCAATTTATTTTCACACGAGGAACCATTCATTAATAAAACAATTAACTGCGCGAGATTGAAAGCTGCTCTCCTAATTCGTGAACATTATTTTCCGATCGGATTTCAACAATTCTTAGAGATCAGTATTGTGCGATGACACTAAATAGCTTTCGTATGACCTTCGTCAAGTAGAAATTAGATTCGCTCCAAACGTTGAGATAAAACCAGTACCTCTATGATCGTCCGCTAGCGGAGATTCCACTACGATCACGTTGCATAACACACGATAACGAGTGTCCTCCATTGCCGTTCCCTCTGCCGTTTAGAATACTCATTCAATATTAATTCGACGGGAGATTGTCTGCGCGAACGCATATGTACCGCGAAGGTAAATCCTGTACCTTGCAATCCCGAGAGGATTTAACAGCAAATCGACGCTGTTAGCTCGCGGCAAAATTGCCTTGATCTAAACGGTGTCTAATCCCTTGAGTGTGAATGTTGTTTAGGTGTTAGTTTCGTGGCAAAAAGAAAGCATTCATCGTTCGATTAAACTCGATCCTTGCGCGAACAACCGAAACGGCGGAGTGTGTTTACTGCTTCGCTGCTTAAGTACTTGTTGTCGTTACGAATTAGAAACTAACTTATTTTAACCCTTAAACGCCCAAAGTTTCAAATTCGATTCCGGTCTTTCAAATCGAATTGTACAATTGCTTTGTTTTTAATATTTGCCTGTATGTATGTATCAAAATTGATACCTGGTTTATTTTTTAAATAAAAATATAAAACACGTATTCTGATCTTTTTTACTATTTTTACCTTTATCTGGCTACTGCAATAAGTACATTGATATTTTTTAAAATTTAATTTGGATAATCAGGCTTCTAAGGGTTAATACTATTAAGAGTGGACAAATGTATATATACAGTATTCCCTCGCACGTTGCAACAGATTTTCCCTCGCAGGTTTCAACGAAGTTATCCCCACCACTACTTGGAACTATTAGTATGCAGAGATTCCAAATTTAAAATCAGTATTACAAATATTGGAACTAAATGCGATATGGGTACAAAATGTTATCCCTTTGCACTCCACCGGCGCTGCCATGGCGACGTATGTGATACTTACCTCGGTTATAGCAGTACCAATTAATTAAAATTCATCCTAATCATAAAAATCAATTCACGCGCGGAAAAAGGATTCTACTTCTTAGAAGCGGCGAGTCAAAATTGCCTCTTGGTGTTGCTTGTCACACATGTTATAAAAAGTTATCGGTGTGCAAAGGGTTAATTCGGCACTGATGGCCCGTATAATATTCGCGTGCGCGGTGAGTTATAGAGTTGACGTTCGAGAAATGTACACAGAAATGCACGCGGAATGGATAAGCTCACGACAGCCAGCTCTATACAGGGTGAGTCGTGACAACGTGAAAACGTCGATATCCCTGTTAGAATTGACGATTCGAGACACTATCAAACAAAACAACTGTACTTTCCACATTTACATATAGAACATTGATTTCTTGTTTAATAAAGTAGTAGCTGACTGTAGGTGACTCGAACGAAACGTGATCCTGTGATCCCTTGAAATCACCTTGTACTGAAATTTCGAGACAATTAGTAACAACATACAAAGTATACAATTATTCGACTTGTTGTTATCAATCCACTGTCCAATGTATAGAAGTAACATCTATGACTGTCAAATGACCTCGAAGGTAACATCAGACACAAGGTCTCTTTATGTCAGCCATGACTGCTCGATCGTCACCTAGAACAGTACATGTGCGCCCATACTCAGTTTCGCCCATCTTCGATCCCAATAATGGTATTTACACGATCTGTTTTTGTAACCCACCCTGTATTCGGTGGTGCAGTTAAACTTCTTGATAAGTCTCTCGCCTCCACTCTCCGTTCGCGCGATTGTGTATCGCATTAATAATTGTCGAGCACGTACATGTGAGGCCGTTGCACTTGGATTTCAACCGAGGGGTTATCATTTGTCATAGAAGGCTGAAGAGCCATCAGTTACGCCGAAAGATTCGCCGACTCTCGCCGAGAAAGAGGGGCGAGAGGAGGGGAACGCGTAATACGCCATAATGGAGCCTCTAGTTATCACTTGTACAATGTTTCACCTGAACGCCAGCGACGACTTTTTACACGGGAGGAGGGGGGAATTAAAGTTCGTTCAACACGTTGATCGCAACGTCACCCAGAACTGGGTGACTGGACGTTTGATTAAAGAACTAAAAAAACTAATTCCGAAGTTGAGACGTCGACAAAAATAAATCTGAATGCAATTCGTGAATTCGGAGGGTCTGAAAAATTAAATACTATGACAAATGATGGATTATCCAATTTTCAATTGCTTCGAATGCAACGACCTCGTATATACGTGCTCGACAATTATTAAAATTTTAACTTTGTAGAAATATTCATGAGTTTTAGTCTGGCAGTCAAGGCGTTATAGGGTGAACAGGTAATTTCTCGTGCAATTTAATAAGAAAACTTCAAGGAAACATGCATTTTTGAAACATTTGCCCTAGCATAAATTTATTCTGCATAATCACCAACAAAATTTCTTAGAATTACGATGTCTCCTCATAAGGGACATCCGAATGCAAATGGTTAATTCTCGCGGCTTTCACTTCAATGCACCTTCTGGCTTCTTCAAGCGCTCTATACGAAATTCCTTTTCCCTTTTCGCAGCGTGCTTCGGTCAATCTGCACTCTTTGGACGAACGTTATTCGCACGATCTTGATGAAACCCTTATAAACGGGATATTTGCGAATTATTTTCAATTCCGACAGAGTTGATTCCACGTTAACGGGCGCTTAAGTAAAATTAATGTCAACGTATTAAGCGATCGTGACTCGTCTAAATGAAATTCACTGGCGAGTCGTATTCTGCTCGACGAACAGTAGGACCTGCCGCCTCATTTATTCGTACAAAATAATCATTTACACGGTGCGGATTTAACAGCGAATCAATTCAATGTAATCACAATGCAATCTTTGAATATCGATGAAACGTAACGGTGAAATGGAGTTGTTTATTTCTTCATCATTGATTCCACCATAGTTTTGAACGCTTTCACTCCCTTGTCGTTGCATTCCTCGTATTTCGGCGCTTCGGATTTCGCCTTTGCGTACCACCTCATGACGTTTTTGTACGGACTGAAATCGTAGTTCATAGCCTGCAACGTAAACGACATGTCACACTATCGAGAATGAAGGTTACATTGGTAGTAAAATAGTAGTATTGTGCAAGGAGTTTGCATTTGAAGTCGAAACATGTTGAAATCGTGTAAAGCGTTACCTCAAAGGTGGAGATGGTAGCAAGAAGAGCCAAATCAGCGAGTGTCATATTCTTTCCTGCGACATAGTCCTGTCCTTGGAGGGCTGTCTCGAGGGAAGACAGAGCCTTGCCCATAGCTTCGTATTTATCCTGATCTTTAGGTGCTTTGGCGAAGATTATGGGGTACTGGAAAGGAAAATGATGGTTAATCGGTATCAGCTACGATGAAACCTTGATTTATCCATCGTTTTATGTCAATACTTTTCAAAATACTTTCACGTCAACTAAATCATGTGTATATGTCAGCAAAATATGTGACGCTGATTACGAGTATGCTTAGCGACCGATTTAGCGTTGAGTAATCCCATACGCAGACTAATAATAGGAGTCATGCATCGTGTAACGCAATTAGTAAAGCCTTGAGCGTTCAACCGATTTTCACCTAATTGCGAACTCGATGGTAACGATGACTAGTAGGTACGAACAATACCGAGTCCCAATGCAAATAATTGTTTGTTTTGTGTTACGTAACGGACAACTTTCAGTACCGCTATGCGACATCGCGCAAAGCTCATAAGAACTAGCACATAGTATCATGACTTACGTAATAGTCCGAGAAGGCTTTGTACAACGTGCACGCGTCGTAATACAATACTCGATTAACGACAGCGCGTTTCTTCGGGTCCTTTGGGTATAAGGAATCGTCCTTGCCATATTGTTCCGCCAGGTATGTCATAATTGCTCGGCTACAAAAAAAAAGAGCGAAACGTGCAACATAGGTACGCGCTTCTGCGACTAGTCACGCCGCCCATTATCGCGAGGTTACAGCGCAATATATTCTCGACTGCGTGACAGAAAGATCTGTGAATCAGATACTGCTACAAGGTAACATGTTTCAGAAGAAGTGAATGCACAGTATATTTCGATAATTAATTAATTAATCCGTTAGGTATATTCTATTCGAATGAAACTATTCGAAGGACGTTAAAAGAGATACGAAAAGTCCCATAAATAAAGTGCAGAGGATTTTTGTATAACACGTTTTACCTCCTTTTCAACGAAGTATTTTTAATCTCATCGTAATTGATGTTGAGAGAAAAACGATACATTTGATTCGTAACAGGTTAGCTGAGGTCTCTGTGACTTTATAATTTTATTTTATTGTTCCTTGTACGTCGCGGAAAACAATTTTTTATTTGACAAAGAATAAATATTTAGAAATTGAAATGAAAGCTGTAGCTAGCGATAAGTCGTATTACCTTTCCCACAGGCGAAAGCCATTGTCGTCGATCGTGGGAACCGTGTGATCCGGATTTATCTGCGAAAATAAAATAAAAGAATTGCGCAAGGCAAAGGGTTAATAACTGAATCATCTGTCCGACGAGATAAAATTCGTGAAACAATTACAATTGTTTCGTTACGCACCTTCAAAAATTCGGGTTTCATATGTTCACCGGCCATCAGATTCACTTCTTTGTAGTTCAGTGGAACTCCCAGAGCTGCAGCCGTGAGGGCAACGGCGCGGCACGGAGAGCTTCCCGGAATTCCGTAAAAGTCGATCGGCATTTTAATTTCTGTAATAACGCGGGAAATGTTACTCCAGAATTTCGTAATAATTCGCAGCTCAGGTATTAAAGAAAACAATTTCAAAATTCTGCAGTCGTCGAGCCTTCAGCTTTTCTTCTGCTCTTAATTAAACATTCCAACGCCAACGCGCGATTACTAAGCAGAACTATCGTTCATCCGTCGTCCCCGACCGCTCTGTATCGTTATGATTCAAGCCTCCTAGCAACAAGTTAACAAAAAAATTCTCGACACTTACGCAGGTATACACGACACGGTTGGAGTCAGGACATGCTCGCGTTTACACAAGAGTAGCGTCACCTGGCGTCGAGATCGAGCCAATTATGTCGCGCATTCGTTTTTATCACGGATGATAGAAAATTCGCACGCCGACTTAACTTCGTTCGGAAAGTTGTAAATTAATCGAGTCGACTGTATAAATTGTCTACGTTCATTTACGAAACGTCGGAGGGACTCGAAGAATCGTACAGATGTACAAAATGTCTGAAAATAAAACTGTCGTCTAAAATGTTTGTTATCCTTACATAATGCTTAAAATAATTCTGCCATCGAAGCCTGTGTTCGGTTCGATATTTATCGGTCTCGGGTGGGCGTATATAATTTGACGAGGATGCTGATTCGTTTCTTAACTGCAACTTAAACTTAAGGGGATATTCTACTAATAGCGGAGTTACGAAAAGTAATAGAATTGGAATTTTGGCGAGTCTCGGTTCCTTGGTAATTTATTGCTGCTACGGGGAAATGTTGAGTAATAAATCTTCGCTACGCGACAAATTAAGCACGAAAATGCACGACAATAAACGACTCTGTTGCTATGTTGCTGAGGATTAACAAAGTAAGTGCGATGCGAAACCTCAAAACCTCTAATCATAAACGATCCTTTAAAGCTGTACTCGAAGTCGTATATCAACATTCCAGGGAAGTATCAATTTACTTCGAGGTGTGGTGAATTGATACGGTCAGATTTCATCAGGTTACTCTATTTTTTCTTTTACATTGAATTATATTTTCTTCACTTTCACTCGTAGAGTATATTTTAGCATATCAACAACAGAGATGGCCAAACTACTTATTTTATACACATAAAATCTTGAATAACGAATAAAAGACACGCATTGAGATAATACCAATAACCTGAATTGTTCAGTAAAATTGTTTTATGTCGAACGATTCAAAATTTCTGTAAACATTTTCTCAATAGAATAAATGAGAATGTTGTCCATCTCTGTCCTGCAACAATTTTGCACCATTTTGTTCATAAACCATTGGTTCACTGTATTCTTCACTATCGACCCTCTAAAATATTACCAGATTCCGAATTAACGCCACCGTGTAGTAGCTCGATAACAGAGTGGCCGAATAACATTTTAAAATCAGATTTCAACGCGTCTGTTTATTATTGACGAATTGTCGATCACGTTCTCGTTCTTTTCCGGTTCGAACAGTCGTTAATAATGGGACACAAAGACCATGGATCGTTGATTTCGATCGCGAATCGAGAGCATAACTGGGAAGAAACTCGAAAACGCGGCACAGACATGGTCGAAACTTGAATCTCACGAACAGAATGATTTGCGATGGGATTATATGGCGAAGACCCAGTGTAAATCTCAAGTATACATACACTTCAAGGCCGCGAAACGACGAAATAAACAGAACTGGGTGGGTGCGTTGAATCTCGTGTTACTTTTCAAACACTGGGATGTCTGGTATGCCGGCTCCTTTTCAAGCGACCAACGGAACGTCGACGCGCATGCTCACGAGATCACAAACCAGTTACTGCTACAGAGGTGGTATCGCCGCCAACTCTCCGATTTGATTGCCATGAATCGTCGGATTAATGGGGATACAGGGCGACTAGAAAGAGAACCGAAAGATCAATTCTGAATAAAAAATTTAGGTAACTATTTAATTTTGAATTTAGGTAACTGTTTAAAAATTTAGTAACTCTTGGAGAATAAAAAATAATTACCAAAGACTGGCTTTTGTTTTTATTTATACCTCAGGAGTGGTTTATCAGGAAATTTAATTTCTACATTCAACTAATTCATGTCATTAGATTTTTGAAAAATTGTTTAATGTACAGATATGTATGTGCGTATGTAGCTTCTTTTTCTATTTACGTATATTAGTTATCAGTTGTATCAGTTACATCAATATTATCGGTATCTTTTCTGTAATAGTACTATGCTGTGTTATTACTTTATGATATCATGATCCACTGATATAATCTTGATCTTGCTAATTTGTAATCAAGTAACAAACACTTCAGGTGGGTTTCCTTGAGGATATGATTTCTTTTGGCGATAAATTTGTACAGTATTATTTAAAATGCCTGATTGTTTCCAACCGTTTGAAATTTATTGGTTAGTCGATCCTGGCATACTCAACAGCCGATAACTGGGAATAGAATTTTCATTTTACCGAAAGTTGCCATTATCCGTTTCATTTGTATTGAATGTTGAATTAACACTTAGTTTTGCCGCTCCTTAAGACAATGAATATTTTCACAACTCTCAGATGCATTGAAAATATTGAATTAAAAATTCAACCACTTGAAATTAGCTCCTGATATGAATTAATTTAATTCTAATTTAACAGTGCAGGCAAAAACCCGTACAAAAATAGTCACCGTGACACAAGATGTAAACACTACTCATTGCATAATAGCGTGATTAGTCACAATAATAATTTTTTTGGTAAAGGCGTTGACTACGCGTACTTTAAACAGATAAGATAATTGCAGCTAATGGAAAGTTTTAAAAGCTTCGTTCTGTCCAAACTAAATATTATGTACTACAATCATGCATGGTCTAGATTAAGTAACGTTAGATTATAGTAGGTTAGTATAACGTAGATAGAACGCGAGTACGCACAATAACGTTAACTATATGTTATTGTATATGTTATTCGTTAACTATAACATATCAATTAGTAATATTGTTTTCACATTAAGAACATAATCGTCGTATATTTATCGGAAATTCTGTTAATACAAATTTGTCTACTAAATTCAAATACAACGTTATATTTGGTTACGGATAAAGAAACGTATGATTATGCATTATGTATCACTATTTGTCATCTAAGTAATGATTGCTGTTATTGATGGGAAAAACTGAATGTTCTATACAATTAGCATGTTTTAGCAACAATGTTTTATGCTTATGTGTAGGAAGATAATTGTGAGGTTTGGAAATTGCCTACTCATGCTTTAATTACATTGATTTCAAAAGTGACATGCATACTTTGTACGTATCTCATTCCTTTACGCATTCAAATGACTCGGCAGAAAACGTATACTTGCCTATGATTCATGATCTCGCTTGTTAGAATGATTGATCGCGATAGAACCACTGTAGTCGTCGATATACAAATAGCTCAAACGTCGAAACGATTGAAATTCTCACTTGTACGCGTTTCAATAAGAAAGAAAATTGAAATTGCTGCATGTGAGCATTGTTACTTATTGCAATAATAATTCAAGAATAATATGTAAGGATAAAAATGGTATTACTCTAAACGATAGTATAATGGAGAATATCGTTATTTCAAGTAAAAATGAAGCAAAGAATATCATTAACCTTGAACAAGAAGTCCAAGGTCTAAGGAACATAGACCGTCATTAGCACCGTGCGATAAATTGGAACAATAATAATCGACATTGTACTTTCATTGAAATTTTCTGCAATTTCAATCAGTCATTTCTCTAACACTTAATCAGTCGAGAACAAGACAAATAAAATTTTCTCACAATTCTATTTAACGAGTTAATTAGCAGACACCGAATGAACGCTTCGTCAAAACGTGTTAATTTTTAATTCATACACCGCTCCTAATTTAGTTTATCGCTGTGGCCATCCAATTAAAAATTTTCGGTAACCAATACTCTGTGACGTTGCTACGTAAAATGAAAGTCACGTTAGATTCGACGCGTAATGGTGATCCTGATAACGTTCTATCGCGCACGAATCTCGATAAACATCACCCGAGACAATAGCTCTTAACGATCAGATATAAATTAATTATTACACAGGTGAAACCTTTTGCAACGGAATCGCTAAAATAAAATTGCAAAGCATGAGAGATACATTTGTACATAAGTTAATAAGAATATGTACTGCTTCGTTCAAAATTAGCTTGTTTAGAATTAGACTAGTTTAGCGGAATCAATTTGGTTTGTTTCGTCATTTTACACCTACCTTGCACAAGAAAAATAGTTGTTAACTATATGAATTAGTACAACGGTGACAGTGAACGATGACAGACGAGATCGGACGATGGACAATGGATAAAGAATGGTGAACTGCGATGGATAATGAACCATGATGGACAATAGACGAAATTTGCATACACCCCTTCCCCACACTTAAATATATTCCGCAAATAAGTCCACATACTTCTCGCATCGGCATGCATTCTGGATACAAATGCCCATTAGCATACGCGCATATAAAATCTGGATTTGCACACAAAATACGTATTTACATACTAAATATGCATTTGCATAAACAGCCGCAGTCAATTCATTAGCTTCGCGGTAGATCCCCCGCCAGCTTGCCAGGGAATAGCTCGTTTTCCGCGAAAGGAGTTCAAGCAACCTACCAACGGTTAAACCGGCCAAACAGATCCTATCGTTTTCGCGAAAAACAGTTCGACACATGACAGTTCCACGACTCGAATCGATCATGAGCTTGTAAGTAGTCGACCCACTTTTCAATGGCGTTCTGCGTTCCACGCGTTCGAGTCATTCTAGCAGCGCATATTTCCGACGCGAAACCGCAGAAAACCGCAAATCCTTCGATTTAGCATCGGTGCACGCCGGGTGGGAATGTAGTTCTAATCATTTGCGGTCACAGCCATGGAAACGCACTTTCGAGGAGCACGGATCAATTATGGGTAGTGCTGTTGGGGCCGAGTTCAGTCATGGCTATCGACTCGAGAGAATGACTCGACAGAAAATTCGTGAACTACGAGAGTCGAACGCCTCGAGTTTCCTGGAAAATGCTAATAACGCTAATACCAGAGGAATGGCAAAGACGTTCGCTACCTTAAACAAAATTGCTTTCAAGGTACCGACACGCTTGCAGCATTGCAGATTTAAACGGATGTATTTAAAATATTGATCCTTTATTGAGGATTTTTATTTTTATTTAATAGGTTCAATTCATGTCGTTGCACAAATATTTTTCTGAGTACTCGGTTAGGTACTTTTCTTTATTTGAAATTTCCTCTTTTTCGATGACTTTGTAGTTTCTATTTCTTCGTGTATTTTTCTTATCTCTCTGTGATTTCTGTGGTAGGTATTTACGAGATTCTGTTTTTCGTGTCATTAAGGCATTAATAAAATTTGCACTACCATAAGATTTATATTAAGTTTGTTTGACAATTGGCAAGCCACGCTTCAGAGTCGCTCTGCTACACGCGAATTAAATGAACCGAATTTTTTGGTACAAGAAGAACTAATTTAGGAAAATATATTTTATCAATTTAATAATATTTGATTTCCGAAAGAAAGAAAGGGGCTACTGTAAACGGTAAATGTATTCATCCATATACAAATCGTTAACTTGACAGAAGAACAATGACATCAGAAATTAAATTACGATTCGCTCACGCAGATTTACGACGTTATCAAATAAACAGTTTTCTTCTATCTAAAGATATCTGAAGTAATGAAAAATAAATGAAGAGACTTCATCGATTACGAATTCAAATTTTAATTCTCTAAAATAATACTAAAGTAATCCACTTAGACAATGTGAATCACATCGGTAACATTCAATCAAATAATCGTTAAAATACAATCGAATAACCTATCTGTCTGTCACAGAAACAAGAGGATGTCGTTAATTATGAATTATTATTGAAGAATCCGACGATACAATTATAAAAACAGCCTCGGGACCGTTTTATCGTCGATGCGATAAAGAGTTATTTAATCAACCTAACGACTTGCTACCATTATATCTCAATAAAAGACACTCCTCTTTATTAAATTTTCCCCAAGGTTGTAATTACAATAAAATTTTATCGAGATTATGAGAGGCTTTTATGAGAAGCTTCCTCGAGTGAAATTTTATTCGGGTAAATCTTTATTGGATCGCGAACGTTTCGGTGAGAATCTATTCGAATAAAACGCTCAGCATTACGGACGCCTTCAATGCGTGGGCGTGCGAACGACGAGAGTAAAATTACGCAACGAGCGATAATTCCGTGGCGGGATTCGATGATGACGCTGCTGAAACCACTGTAGCCCCTCGGAATCTTGCCCGACTGCGGTCTGAAAAACCCGTTGCTTCCGTTCCCGGAATTCCTGTTTGACGAGGTTCCCCGTTCCTGAATTTAATTAACTCGCAGTCCATTCGACGGATCCTGCCCGCCGTCCGTGGATCGCGCTCGAGGAAATCATTGAGGGGAGGATAATGTTTTTACAGGC